GCACTTTTTTGTACGTATCTTTTATCATGAAATATGGGTGTCCCAGGTTACCAGGAGATCAGATAAAGAAACCCACATAACATCTATTTTCCCAAAAAACATCCCCACAAATACCCAATCTCTTAAAAAGGGTGCCCTGCAACGGGATCCTGGAATAACAGACTGATCCCCAGATTTGAAACCACTTCTATGACCTGTCCAAACAAGAACTGTGGCGCATACGGCTATTGGGAACTCCACCAATCAGGAGGAGACAGCCACGGACATTGCCGTTCGAAAGCGCTGGAGACGCTGTAGTACATATGCCAGGCCTGTAGATGGTGCTGTTCTCACAGAATCAGCCCATGCAAAGACAGTGTTAAATTGAGCGAAATGAGGAATGGCTAAAATGCATGATCTGTTTGGTATTTTGAAAAATAAAAAGTATGAATATGCCTTATATAAGTATGGTCCTACACTATATTATTCAAATATAGCATGATAGGTCCACTTTAAAAAATGTAATCTTCCTCGACAAATGGGGCTCCTGAAGTGCAATAGGATTGATAAAAACCCACTTCATTTACAGATAAACATAATTTATTCATTCATTAAAAACAGACTATATGTTGAAAACTAGTTGTTTCTTCAAATATAAGCATTAGAGCCCAAGTTGTGCTAATTAAATGGCAGCTCCCTGGCATTCTTATAGAGATAAATGAAATTGTATGTTGCTAATTATTCCACATTGGATATGGAGCCATTCATAATTATACCTGTGAATGTATAAATACCACAAAAGTCTCTCTCACCTTCGCTTTCATCCTCTATCATTTCCATGCATGAAGTACCCTCCTTGGCACCTTGCCAAGGCAGGGCATTGGCACAGCCTGACTAGTACAACAAAGAGGTGTCACTGCCAACTTCTGCAACCCACCCCCTGCTGGTCAAATCCTCTTTACTGGTTTCACTATGACAGTCTGTCCGCCATCCTTGGACAGGAGCTCAGTGACCAGTGCCAGGGAGGTGGGAGAGGAGAGTGAATGGCGAGTGGAGGGAGAGAGAGAAACAGATGGAATAATGGGCAGAGAAATATTTCCGATAGAAAGGGTTCTCCCAAATATGTGGCTGTATCACAACTAACCTGTGGGATGGACAGGCAGCAGGTATAATCTTTAGATTTTTTTATTTATTCTTATAAAAGGGCACACAATATCTTGCAAAAGTCGAGTTGTTGGGCTGTTTGAATAAATATAATTTTAATCTTATTTTTTTAGAATTTCATTAGACCTAAAAGAGATATTTGTTTACTGTATATGGCATATAGTGTAGTGCCACATAACTGTGGAGGTGTGGATTTCACTGACAGCCAGCAATTGTTATTTCTCCCATAATTTATGCCCTGGCTCACTGGCTACAGCTCGTCATTGTCCCACGCATTGTTTTTCCATCCATTTCCAACATTTGAACACAGATGTTCTCTGTGGGAGGCAGCGGAGAGCTGGCTCAATCACTGCATAGTATTTTCCTCACAGCTCGCCTGTTTGTATTCTGGTTTTGCACACAAGTGGGCATGTTTGTGTGGCTGAGCTGATAGGAGCTGTTGAGTTACGTCTGTGTCTCTGTGTTTTGTACACTACTATACTAACCATTTTTAAACCTCTTCACTCTTTTGTCCTGTGCTTCTCTGTTTTCTAGGAATCACCTTCAAGGTCATCAGCCATCTTTAGTAGTCCCGGGGGTCTTTTAGAAGGTCGGACCTCCTCGCCACTATGAAAGGGTTGGGGACCAACCGTAACAGACACCTGTCCGAATCCTGTGAGCCTCCCTCCGGTCATCCAGAGGCCCTCTACTCTCACAAGACCTGCACCATCCCACGCAGCCCTTACCTGCTGAGCCCCACAATGGACCACTACGGCACCATGGACCCTCACCTCTATCCTTCAGCCAACCAAGGCTCCCTTCCACCAGAGTGCATGCTGCCACTTAACAACCAGCTGTCTAACAGCAGCACCTTCCCCAGGATTCACTACAACTCCTACGACCAGTCTGACTTCTCCCCACCTGGAGACAGCATCGGGGGGATTAGCACAGGGACCATGGGCACCTCCATGTCATTGGGACCGGGTATGGGCATGGGCATGGCAGGGCTCAGTGGACGAACACCTATGATTACGAGCGGTTCAGCAACAATATCACATCACATGACAAAGAACCAGGCACCATCCAGTTTGATGGACTTTGATAAGCAGCTACCTGGAGGTCGTGACGGGTTCAGCACATTGCAGTTTCACAGAACGTCAGCTGTTGCTGCCACCAAGCAGCAAACAGACAGTCCTGGTCGCATCCGCTACATGCTGCACTCAGTGCAGAAGCTCTTTGCAAAGTCCCAGTCGCTGGAGAGCCAAAACATGAAAGGAAATGTCAATGGACGCTCCACTGGCAGCGGTGGAGGCTCGTCTAGCACCGAAGACGGAGAGAAAAAGAATCGAAGATCTAAAAGTAAAGATCGGGGTACAAAATCAGAGGCCAAACGAAGACCACGCTCCAACATGTCAGGCTATTGGAGCTCAGATGATTTGGACAGCAGCGATTTGAGCAGTTATCATAACACCATGGCCATGATGACAATGGGGCGTCCACCTGGACATGACAGTCATGGGGGCCAGTCCAGATACATCCAAAGTGGATACAACACTATCAGCTCCTCTAAAAGCAGCAATGACATGAAGTATCAGGCACACACTGGGCCTGGGGGCGGAGGAGGTGGTGGACTAGGTGGAGCAGGAAGAATGGCAATAAATGATAATGACTACATGAAAGGAGGGTCCTGGTCCACACTGACCATGGGCCAGCCGAGACCGATGATCCAGAAAGGCTCTGCTACTCTGGACAGATCCATGCTCAAGTCCAGATCCTACCAACCTGAAATGAACTGCAACTACCTGCAGGTTGGACGAAGGGTAAGTAGGCCTAAAGGGAATGTAGTACTAGTTAAAAGTTGGATTCCGGAAGGATTTTATTATTACGAAGACCTATTTACAGGTGTACGTTAAAAATACAAACACAATATACTTGCTTTTAGAGCGTTGATTAGGAATGAAAAGAAAGACTAATTGTATCCGCTTTATTCTGTCTGTAGGGTGATTGTAGTAGCACTTTAGGTCGCCCTGGGGGTGCCAATGAAATACCGTGTCGGCGGATGCGCAGTGGTAGCTATGTGAAGGCCATGGGAGACCTGGAAGACAGCGACGACTCCGAGGGAAGTCCCAAACCTTCGCCAAAATCCGCCGCTCGTCGCCAGAGCTACCTAAGGGCAACGCAGCAGTCTCTGAGCGACCAGCTTCCCCAACGCAAGTAAGACGACGAACTGAGACATAGAGATGTGCTTTTTGTTACGCAGTAAATATTAGTTTTCAGCTGCAAGGGAGTCAACCTCATGTTAAAGTTACAATCCTTTAATGAAATCTAATCCAAAGTAGCCCCGCAGCTTTGATTTACAAGCACCTGATTGCCACCTGCTTTCTGCCAGGTACAGGTTTTCAATTCATAGAAAGAAAATTATTAATATTGTTTCCTGATTGTCTAAAAAGTGGACTCACATCAGTTTCTAAATTGTACGTAAATTCCTGTTTATCCTAGCTTATATCTTAAAACTTGTAGGTGAATGTACTTGGATAAAAAACAAACCTTAAAATGGGTGGCTAGATTAAGTCTTGATTTTTAGAGCCCATCCAGTCAAAACCTCTCAACAATCAAAGAAAATAAAAAAGCCACTTTTTTCTGGGATGTAGAAAGCTACCACGCCCTAAATAACCATCACAGTATGCAAGGAAAAATAAATGCATACAACATGCACAGTGCACACAAGCTGTGCTCACTCACATGTAAAATAAAGAGGTGTCAGACTCCCTGTTGTCCCCCACATGCCAGTCTTACGACCACACCTCATCTGTGATTTATCTTCCTGTGTTGGACACACAAAGCATCACAACATTAGTGTAGTTTACATAATATGACACTGACTGTTGTTTCTATTCAACCAGTAAATAACCACAAATCAGCCTCATCTCTCCGACTGGCTGGCAATGCGCCTCACTTGTCTTTAGATGACATGCTTTATGAAGCATATATATTGCACAATATGTGGTGCAGGCACAGCTGAGTCGACTGTGCCTTCTCATTAAATGACAAAACATGCACTCCCATTTTTCCTTTGTATGCAAGCAAATTGGAACTGTCATGTTTTGTAATGTCAGGTTTCAGAGATCAAATTGTTGCACCTAATTGCAGAGTAACAATCACAATGCCCATTAGTTGCTAAAAGATATGACAGTTGTTGCATCTGCCGTCTAGCATTAAATTGTTTCTATGTTTCTTTGTTGTTTTTAATAGTCTGCAGGAATTAGCTTGAGGTATTTGGGACCTATTATTATATTATATTATTATACTTTACGGTCAAGTAAACAAAAATATCATGAGCACCAATGTTTATCATAATTGACTTCTGATAGTCACAAAGGAAGCTTGTGATAACACCTTCAGTAAAGCAGCTTTGTCAGTGTGGTCCTAAATGATGGGTTTTGCAGTACAAATGGCGTACCATATGCAAACACTTAGTTGTGGACATACTTCATATTGGATCAGGGTTGGAGTGTTGATGTCCATTCAACCCAAACAAGAGGCGGATCATCCTGAGAAACAGCTGCAGGCTTTCCAACATACACACCTCTGCTTTTACAATGATTCCAAGTCCTTTAGTCTATGTAGAGTCAAGGATTCATTCTTGCCTAGAGCGTGCCTGAATGACTAACCCTACTCCCCCTGCCCATCCCTGACCATCCAACCCCTCTCCTCCGCTCTGCTCCAGCCTGATTGGCGTGAGCAGCAGAACCCTGGATTACACCTTGTTGCAAGGGGAGCTGGATGCCCTGTGGTCTCCTCTCCACAGTGTGTCCTCTCTGCACCAGCTGGGCAGGTCAATGAGCAGGTCAGTGATAGGTCTGTTAGCCGCGTCTCAGGAGTGTGGTGCAAAAACGCTTTTGTCCGATTGTATCGTTTTAATTTCAATGACTTTGCACTGCACACCTCAGACGCCTGTAAAGTCAGCGGCAACTCAAAATGCCAAATTCATACCGTGCCGCCAACAACTGCCAACCTCCCTTAAGCTTGTAAATACCATCTGCCCAGTGCTTTTAGGTGAAAAGTAGCTGAGTTGGACACTTTTCAAATGGGGGGACATCTGTGTCCATAGACCACGGCATGGCAGATTGCTGTCATGTTACTATCACTGTGTGCCAACAAAGAATATGTGAAAACATGACTTTCGAGTTGCTTTGTGTTTAAACTCCAACCAGCTCTTTGTCTTTGGCACCATGATGGCACACAGAGCAGTGTGTACATGTGTTGCCTGACATCATTGGCTTTGCATGCTCAGATGCTACTATGACTGATGCCAAAATTAGATGAAAGTGGAAGAGAGTCAGGATTGAAATGACTCATGAATTAAAGTGGAAATGAAAGGGGGAACTTGAATACAACAACCTTATCCTCCTTTTATCTCTCTTTCTATTCCTGGTTTTGCTCATCAAGCCTATTTGCCTTCTGGCTCCCTATCATCGAACATTAACATGAAGTTTCTTTCCCATCTTTTCCTTGAATATGCACTCATCCACTCCTGCCTTTGGTTTTTCTCCTTATATTTGAATGTCCTTAACACATCTCCTTTGTCTTGTTTCTTACTGCTCTTTTCAGCTGTCTTCCATCTCTCAGAGAGATCTCCAATAATCGCAGCCTGGACAACCTAGACTGCATTGAGGGTACAGTCTCCTCTTTGCCCCCCTGGGATGATGATGACTTCAGCCAGGCCTGCAGCACCTTGGGCAGACGTAGCTGCTTGGGACAGGTCAGTGCAGGGAGTGCATTAAAAGTGAGCTGTCTGAGGTCAAATAATAAATCTGTTTTTCTCCGTCTGTTTGTGTCTCTATCTTATTAGTTTAGCAGATTTATTTCTAATGAGAATATGTTTGCTGGAAATGTAAATGACTTAGCTCCAAGCAAACTTTCTATTTTTGAAATCAGCAGTCAGTTTCAAAGACCCCATTGTCTGCCTCAAGCTACTAACACTCATTTCCGCAGTATAATTTGCATTTTAACAGATACCGCTTGAATGACAGTATTAAAATGAGCTTCCTGTGAACAAAGAATCCCGCTTTTCCAAATGTATCTCATATTAATGTTATGAACCTAAGAGCCAAATGAGTGAAATTAGTGGTTTTAAGTCTTATTGATCAACTTACATAAGAACTATTAGCCTCCCACTGACAAGGTCAGTACTATAGTCAAATGAGGCAGTGCAGGCTATTACTACAGGATTTACACCCAATCTCTTGACAGGTCAACATTACAACAAATGTGTCCAATATGTGAATTCATTGCTCTAATTTGCATCCACACCAGCATGCCGAATACATTTAATTTGCATGATAATATATACTCAAGATGTGTAATTAAGAACATTTTCCATACAAGATTTCTACGGAGCTTAATCAGAACAGTGGAAATAATACCCAACATTTAACACTATTCCAAAATGTGTGTGGGTGTAACATTTTGTTGTGCTGCTTCTGCTACACTCTCCCCCTTATATGCGTATGGAACCATTCTGCGAACCACCAAAATAACTTTGCTCCAAACACATTTTTGACTCATACTCAGGCTGTCTGTGTCAATCAACAGAATGTGAAACCCATCATCCGCAAGGCTTGTTCTTACTCTTCGAAAGAAGCCTCAGAAAGAGCATGCAGAGTAAAACGTTTCTAAGTGGTGTCTTTTGCCTTGGCGTATATTTTATGTTTTATAATTGACAGTTATTATATAGCTGTGAGAAATGTAAAAAAAAATGTAAATGCTTTTAACATTCAGTCCAGAAACCCAGCCTAAAGGAAAGCTGGCGGAGTCCCACTGGTTTCTATGAAGTTAAGAAACACTGTTCTCTGCAACACTTAGAAATAATTGGACTTCATTTCCACACTCTTAGACTAGTCACGCTTTTGGTGCCATTTTATTGCATTCCATCAGATGAGTCTCACTAATGAAGAATCCCCTTTACAAAAACAGTCAGTTTCTGGGCAGTGTGCTCACCTCCAGCGCCAGGAGCAGCTACTATGATCAAAATGAACCCACTCTTGCAGTACTGTTCTCCTTGCTACCTTACTGCTAATCTTGCCCTTTCCTCCCTCCAGCTACGGGACCTGGAAATGAGTCAACATTACGAGGACCGCAGCTCCGAGTCCACATTCAGAGATTCCCGTTCCCAATCTCAGGACAACCCAGAGCCTCTAGACTTGCCCATGCCAACATGCTTCCGATCCCGCAGCCACAGCTACCTGAGAGCCATCCAGGCTGGCTGTTCACAAGATGACGACACAGCATCCATGGACTCAGGCTGCTCTCCGCCCCCGATTGACACTACTGTACGCACCTACAGCAGCAGCACTGGTGAGTCACAAATGATACATCTGCTGCAAATTAACCGAGTTATAACCCAAATGCAGTGTTGTGTGTTGCCAAACTGAGATCTGGATGCTTTGTTTAAACCGAACACAATATTGATTTTTATTTTATTATGCCTTGATGATTTTTACTCAGTTTTGACCCCTTTTGCAGAGCGACCCAGATAAGAATGACTTGTACTTCCCATAACATAACATAAACTAAAACAACTTATAGCCTTGATCCTGGGATGGACACTAGTCTTCCCTCATACATGCACACGCTAGCATCTTTAGCTTAAATGCAGCCTCTTTTGCCCATGCTAGACGACCTTTCTGCACAGTGGATGACATGGAAAGAACAGTTTGGCTCTTACCTGATAGCCACTGGCTTGGACAAAGCCCCAAAGGAGAAACAGCTTGCAATTTTTCTTCAGCGTTTGGGGACAGACAGACAACGCATCCTACGACACAAAGGTAAAAAATCTAAACCAGCTCCTCTCCCCTAAAAACGATGTTATCAATGTCCCACTTCAAGAACTTCAAAAGAAAAGAAAAAACCTTACTATCAAGAAAAACTAAGTGAAAAAGAGACGCTTTTGGTCAGTGGAGTTTCGGTTGTCATGGAAATGATTTCAGAAGCCCAAAAAAAATAAGCAAACTGATCTGGTTGTTACTTTGAGGTTGAATTTGCTATAGCAGAGGAATTGTGAATGTGTGTGATGACATACAAGATGCTTTGTACTGGTTGTGTCATCTGAATGCTCCCCAAGTAGAGAAAAGGAGTGTTTATACACTGTTGCACATAACGTTGGAATAAATTAGTTTCCAGACCTTCCATATTTCCCATTTACACACACAATCGTTTCATGAGAAGAGTTAACAAATATTGTATTCCAACTTTATGGGCAACAATGTATAAACTGTAATTATGTGTGCATCTGCTTAAGTTATTAATACCAGAATTTATCCACATTGTGGCGCTATTTCCTGTAATCTTCTAAATGGACTTGGAAGCACATGCTGTGTTCAGGCCGTTCGAGTTTACTGAATTTCGAAAACTTTTTATTTGTGTTCCTTTGGGGGGGATTAATAGTTCTTTCAACATAAAGCTGATAAGGGAAATAGGTTCTCTTTTTGTCAGAAGTGCGAGTCATATTTTGTTCGTCTGATTTTGATCATTTTATTTCTGTAGCCACATTATTAATGCTGCATTCAGTGGTTGTGGTTTAATGTCAGAGCATATTAAGCATAGAGATGTTGTATTTTACTTTTGAAAGCCGTCCTAAAATGTTATATTTAAAGATTCAATATCAAGAAACATAGGTTTCCCCAAAGTTAAATCTACAACAGTATCAACGGCGTTATTAAATTCTAAGAAGCACTTTTATGTGCACCATCATCACTTTAGTTTCAACGATCAAACGGTTGAGTTTGAATTTTCCGAGTTGCCCCTGGAGGCATCGGGAGACAAGCCACCACGCCTCCTTCAGAGACAGAAACAAAGGCAACCAAACCAAACCCGGCTTCTCACAGTCCTCACACAGAGAGCGAGGGTCGTCTCCGGCTGTAGCTGCACTTAAAATATCTAAGTCTTAGCTAAAAACACCACTGTGTTTTTTATTTATCTTCGCCTGACAGCAGGGTAAGCGTTTTTATCATTTTAATGTTAATTGTGCTGAGTGCGTAGTTATAACAGTCTGGCTCGTTTGGTGACTGGACGCTCTTTAACCGGTGACAACCAAAACTTTAAAGTAGGTTACATTAACTTTCGCTTACGGTAATTTACTGCCATTGTATCTCTTCAAGCTCCCGGTATCCAACAAAAATGTCCTATAAGAAAAGTTGTTATCACTGTGTGGGTGAGATGTTGACAATAACTCAGTAGGCCTATACGACAGCAGGTGATTTGTATGGGTGCGTAAATTACTGTCGTCTCGTATTGATGAATTTAATTTCTGCTTTTAGGTCTGCTAAGATGGTCCCCTGCTGAGGCTTGATTTACAGGGAATTGCTCTTTTGTCTGACCTGTATTTCATTAAGTGTCCGATGTACATATTTAGACCATTAAGCAAAGCTAAAGACATGTAAAGGAAAGTAGGATAACTCTCATTAAGTTTGATATAAACTCTGAAATATGTTTGTCTCCATAACTGCCTCCATTGTTGCACTTTTTTAAGATCTGTACTTCCAGTGTTCTGTATAAAGGTCTTTATCAATTATTGAGAATTTCCTACCATGGTTTTCGTACAAAGTGCTCTGCTGCTGCCATGGGAGTCAGTATGTCTGCTGTTATACTGCATGAGGACTAGATATAGTTAGATGAACCTAATGCTGCCTACACTTTATACGCAGCTTTCTTTAGTTGCTGACATGGAAAATTGGCCTTCACTGGGTATTATTTTAGGTCTGCCCCACTTTGGTCCCACATGGGGTCCTGTCTGTGTACAAAATGGATTAGATCCCATTTTGAGGTCACATTAGAATATAAGGGCTTTTTCGTGTTGTCCCTGTGCTGTTGTTGAAAGCATTTCATGTGATAGTTTGTTGGAATAATGGCTTTGGGTCACAAAGCAGCAGTGATAGTTTCAGGCAAGGTTGTCTATCATTGTGCCTGTAAATTGATTAAACAACACAGTTGGGTCAACTCAGCTGGCAGACAGCAGGCAACTTGGCAAGCAATACTAAACTGTTAAATAGAGCATCACAATTCACCCTTTGTCTTCCATTGTTCCTGGTTCTTGTCTGACACAAACTAACCACATAACAGCACCACCTCAACCAATCAGCTTACATTTATTGTTCCTGGGGAACAGTTTAACAGACATTAAAACTCTTGAAAAGGTGTCTAATATGCCCCACTGGTACTGAGATTGTTTGAGCAGCTTGGATTACATAAAAAAGATAAAAGGGGATTGGGCAAAAATATTTTAGGGTCTAAAAGAATGCTGTGCTACCCACAGCGATGTCACTGGAAACTGTGATTGGTTAGTTATAGTTTTCACAGCAAGCTCTTATTAAGCACTGTGTGGCTTCATACAGGTTTACCAAAAGATACCTATTTTTGAGTTTTTTTGTGTGGAGTATTAAGCCATGATTAGTATGTAGTGAATTGCTTACACCGGTGAGAGGTAGAGTGGAAAGCAGTCATGGGGTTGGTGGAAACATTTTTCCTCTGCTCTAGCTTCATGCAGCTAATTGTTTCCCAGCTTTGAAAATCCCATCTTGAACCCGGCTAACAGTGGACGACAGAACCACTGTCCAGATGGCATGAAAACGGCAGAGCTTAGTGCCCACTCCAGATTCCACTCAAAACCTTTGGCACACAGCCTCTGCTTGTGTCTGTTGCTAAATTCCCTTCTGTAGAGCAAGCAGTAAGTTCTTCTGAGCAGCTCTTTTTACGTAAATCCAGCTTTTTTTTAAAGAGATACAGTGTTTGGCTTCATGTAGTGTGTATCTGTCTTCAATGGCGTGTTTAGTTCAGGGAAGGGCTTTGTCAGCACTGGTTCTGGTGACCGTAACTGTTTTACATTCAATGTGTTTTATGCTTGCACAGCTGGGTATGTTTGTGTGGCTGAGTTTAGTATAATGCGCATGAAATGGGCCGTGTCACTTAATATCCATCTGTCTGTGGGAACTTTCTGCCATGGGTGCATTTTCTCTTTTTTAACAGGCATTTATAAGGAATCAGCTGTTTTCTGTTTTGTTACATTATAATCAATGTGCTACATTATAAAATGCTGGATTTACAACTGTTATTTCTTTATTATTTTACACACTTCTCACCAGTTTTACTAATGAAATCTGGGATGTAGCAAAACCTTTCGCTAACAGCCAGAATACCGTGTGAACAGTGGAGTGTGGTTAAACTCCAAACTTGTTCCAGACCTGTCTGATCACCTATGTGGTTTTAATGTGCATGCCATTGTTAAGCTCTGTCTGGTAGAATTATTGCATCAAAAAACTGAAATGCTCATTGCCATTTTTATTTGATAATTATCAAAAGTTCTGATTTAATTGTTGCAGCTCTATTGAACGAAGTGGTAGACCAACTGACTATATAATGATGCTAATCTCGTGCTTTTTTTTGCTGTGGTAAAGACTCAGCCTTGGTATATGGGGGTCTTCCAGGCAACCTACCTCCTTTTCTCCAAATAAATGACATTACATTTGGTATTTCTGAATTGCAGTTTTTTGTTACATTGACATACAGTATTTGTCATGAGCTAAACTAGGCCGATAATATTGTCCTGGCCTATTTATTTCGTCCAGCTCTACTACTTTATATCCCGTCTAATCTCAGAGGCAGCTGTCAGTTATGATTTTACGGCTTGTTTTTGGTGGGCAAAGCAGATTCTGTAGCATTATATATAGAAATTTTTATTCATTGGGATAAACCCCTTGAGATGCACCATCTCGTTTTCAAGGGGGTCCCGTATTAAGCATTAAGCATTAAGACTTAAGGGCAAATTCTGTTCAGAATGACGAAAACATGATGTGACATTCAGGGAACTGCAGGGCAGGTATCCACACACACACACACACACACACACACACACACACACACACACACACACACACACACACACACACCCTTGTAGACCCAGTTAGTGACAGCTATCCTGCAGACTAGGAGCCGGTGCATCACAAAGCTGCCACAACAGTGACAAGCCTATTCGGCCTAGCATCTATCCCTGTCATAAGAGGGAACATGGATGGTGAAAAGCTGTCTCAGCAGGTTTCCCTCAGGCATGGAGGATGGTCAGAAGCTGCTGCAAAATCCATGGCTAGTGGCATGTGTACTGTTTCGATAGGATGGATGCTAAATGCAGGTTTACACAAGATGTATTATACTGGATCTCTGTCTTGCAACATACCAAGAGTTGGAGATCTGTGTGTAAATGATGACCACGGTGGAAATGTTAATGTTGCTATGGATACATCTATTGATCTATCTTTGGGATGCTAGGGGTTTGACTGAGTTGAAGCTGAGGTTGTGTTCCAACAATCAAAGCATTATGGTTCGCAGGTTGTGTTTGTATTGTCTGCCTAATATTTACCTTGAGGGCTGGTCATCTAAAAGGGTAGGTGTTTCCTATCTCTTTTCATGAAGTTCACATGTGTGGTACAAAGGCACAGGCTAGCGATTGTCTCATTTAGGTGTGGTTTGGGTGTCATTTCTGATGATTACACATTATTTTAGTTTTGTGGTGTGTCATTGCTGAAACCGAGGCCAGCATTTACTAATCGGCGCTCTATTCTGGATGAAGTCAGGTGACGAGGGATCGAAAATCAGGTATGTTGAAGAGTGAAGACAAGCCAAAGATAACAGAGGAGGATTTGACGCTGATCAACAGCATTGACACTGCAATGGCTCAGCTGTTAAACAATATTCCTGCTAATAAAGATGTTTTTGTTCATTTTTTTTAGACGAGCACAATTTCCAAAGGGAAAGCCTGAACTATGATATGCCAACAGAACTTAAAGACAGCTGAGACTGCATGAGAGAACCGCAGTGACGCGTCCTAAAACCCGGAAGTAAAGTTCTTCCGGTTCCTTCGATCATAAATCTATCGATTCGATTTATGATTAGAAAATTATAAAAGATGGGTAGACATGTGGAGATTATCCGACTGAACAAAACGTGATCGGTCTCTTAAATGTGTGTCAACCAGAGACCTTATTTCAAGCTATTTTCCAAAATACTATGGAGAAATTGCATTGCATTTTTGTCGAAGGAACCGGAAGAACTTTACTTCCGGGTTTTAGGACGCGTCACTGCGCTTCTCTTATAGCATAGGTATAGCATATGGTAGCAAACCCTTTAAAGCTCTAGTTGCTCCTAAAGAAACTCTGAGGAGGACCAGAGGGACATTGGAGCTAGTTTAATGTAATCCAGGCTGGTGCAATTCTCCAGCAGACTGACAGCAGTTTGGCAGGTCAACTGTTGTGTGAGGTCATGTAAGTTTTATGATTTGAAGTGAGGTTGCATTACATTAGAGATAAAGCTAAAAAGCGGATTACAATGAACAACGAAGCCTTTTGTTTGAGTGTTTTCTCTGCAGCTCACATGTTTGCTGCAAGGCTTTTTCATAATCCTTGATGACCACAGCATTCAGTGCAGGAACACAACACGGTGCAGAAACAGTGTTCGCTTCATGCAGTGCCTCACATCAAATAGTGACATGTTGTTTCCTCTCAAATGTCACAGCAGAAAAGTGTGACTATTTATAATTATCTCAGTATTTATGAGAGTTTGACTCCTTTCATACTACCTCATATCTGGTGGTTATGTATTGTGTCTGATGAAAAACAGCTTTTAGTCCACAACAGCTGATCGTTAGAGAACTTGGCTGACTTACAAGATTCAATCAAATGGCCATTAGACTGTTCAACACCACATTCAACGAGATTGTGATTGTGTGCTTCTGCCACATTTTCATTTTGTGAAATTATTTTTGACATTTACTATAAGGCTATAAAGTGTCCTATTGATTTTTTGTATGGTTGGGTCTGCACCATAAACTGATGTTTGTAAGCAAAAACTATCAAAGCCAGCCACTTTAGTCCATAGAAAATGATTATAAAATGTATTTAGTTAAAGGATGATGAAGCTTTTACTGCTTTTGTTCAAACAAAAGTTACTCCTCTCCTCTTTAGCCTCATCAGTCCATCGTCTTGTATCCACTTTCCACAGTTTTCTTTTTTTAAATAAAGTATCTGTTTAAGGGATTATATAGTAGCCACAGGGTTCATAATGTTACAATACAATCCCCAGTTTAGATTATAGGTTCTGGCGGTCCAGCGTCACACTCTGCCTTCACTCTGCATGTAGCATGAGATTTCGGTGGTATCTTAATTGAAGGCATTCGTGACTTTTTGAATGTTCCTAAAGGCGACAAAACGGTATTTTGAATTGTATCTGTTGCTTTTTATAAGTAATTTGAAACCATTTAGCCATACCATACACTTGGTCTCTTCAGATTCAATGTTTAAATGTCACGGGGTGAAATCTTGCTCGCAGATGGGCCATTTATATCTGCTCTCACTGAATGCATCCATTGACCTCCTCCTGGACAATTGATTTAGTTGATGGATTCGATAAGTGGCTCTACAAGTGAAATAATGAAGTCAGAAAGGCAGATTCCAGCATATGTTGAAGAAGAGACATGTTTGCATCTTGTTGGCGCAGAAAAACATCTCCTTTCATTTGAGTCAGACTCTTTTCTGAACATCATACCAGGCACTTAATAATCATCAAACCACTGAGGGGATGGGAGTGAACGTCTCTCATACAGATTTGTCTGAGTTTTCTTTTCCCTCCTCCGTCTATGGTACCTTTCTATTATCTTCTCATAGCTGAATGTCACATTTGGTCTGGAATAAAGTGCAGCACGGTACAGATAAATGTCCTCCAATTTCTTACCCATATTCAGTCTTCAGAGTCAGATGTTCTATAAATTGCTTTACTGATATAATCGCCTGTCTCATGATCTAGGCTTTGGAGAGTGGTATGTGATTTAATTTAGTCACCTGTGATGAATGGTGTGCTTGTTCAATGTCCTACTTGATTTGATCTTCCCCTTTCACGGGAACGTTCCTCAATGTTCCAGCTTTAACACAACAGCATCCCTGTGTATTCATGTGTACAGTAAGACATGGATATACTGAAAAAGGTAACTCTTATCATAGAATGATGATACGCAGGCTTGAAGCTTTTCACAGTACCAAATATAAGTATCTTCAGTCATTTGTTCCTTAAAACGTTCCCAAAGCATCTTTGCCTCTGCGTTTTTATTCACTTATTCTTCTCGTTCTCATGTCTTTTTTCGCCCTGGCTCACCTTCCTTTTGTTTCTCTTCCAGTTTCCACATGCATCACCACCAGTAAGAAGGTCGCCCCTCCACCAGTGCCCCCCCGTACAACCTCCAAGCCCTACATCTCTGTGACGGTGCAGAGCAGCACAGAGTCGGCCCAGGACAACTACCTGGACCAGCAGGACCGGAGGTCGGAGGTCACCAGCCAGTCGAGCCACGCTCACAGCAACTCTTCTGACAGCCTCGACAGCACCCGTGCCAACAGCCTGGCCCGGGGTATTCCCCGCCCTCCACACATCTTCCACACTCCCATCGCCATCCCCAGAGACCCAATCGCCCCCTCCAGAAGTAACGCTTTCACTGAGACGAGTGACGCAGTCGTCCAGTATGAATCATTGAGATCAGGATTTAACAGAGGGAATCTAGGGGCAGAGGAGCCCCTGGTGGCACCAGTACCCAGACGGAAACTGTCCTCCATTGGTATACAGGTACGGGTCTGCTGCACTAACTAGGGTACAGTGCCGTTATCACATATGACGGCATACTGTCAACAAGGAGCCTACTTGCAACTAAGTGTAGCTTTTTCTGCTTGTTGAGCTTGAATCCATAGAAAAGGTCTTTTTAACAGTAGTTTAGTGTTGTGCATGGGTATGTGTGAGTGGGCCTACTCAAGCCCAGAAATGTGCTTTTAAACCAAAGGTCTCATTAGGGTGAACATCCCTCTATCATTAGGGCTGGCTCACTACTGTAGTGAAGAAGGCAGAAAATGCATATTTGCGTTCCCCTCTACCATATAACTTGTCCTGCAACTCCTTTCTCTATTTTGCAAGGCTTTGACATTAACAGAACTCATTCAGGGTACAACTGTGACATTATTTAATTGAAAAGGCAAAGATACAGGTTTTCTTTGAATTGTTCACTGGAAATTAACAAGCGCTACAAAACTGTACTTTTGCTATAAGAAGTCTTTCAAATAATTCGTACCAAGACCTTTGTTAATGTTCCTTCTTTCATGTATGTCTGATTTTATTTTTGTTGTCCACTGTGATATGCTCTCAGGTTGACTGTATCCAGGAAGTTCAACAGGAAGAGACCCCGCCACTGGCCAGATTTCAGTCCATCGGAGTACAGGTGGAGGACGGGTGGCAGTAAGTCCTCTTCCTGTCCTTGTAACAACGTGAGGAATTTATATTATAGCCACACACACTGTTCTGTCTATTCTTTCCCTTTCCAGAATCTCTGTGGATGTGAAAGCAATGTGAATGTGTTTTGTCTGAAAACTACCCCTTGTGTGTTGTGTTGGTGGACTTTAAAATAAATTCCGGGCATGAGCTGTTACTATTTGATCTTACTGTATATCTACTTGCTGCATACTGTTGAGACCAATTTATAGGTCATTTGGTAGGAGCTTGCATTCTGTGCTCCTCTTGTTTTCAATGCCATGGTTTTCCTCTTGGCTTCTTTATGTTCTTACTTTAAGAGCTTCATTTAGTGTTTCGGTTGAAGCAGCTTTTTATAAATCTTCACAGGCTTTTTAACAGAACCAGCCTAGTCCCTTTGTTTAATTTTTTTGTCCCTTGTGTTTTATTATCGGTGTTGTACACTCATTTGTGTTATGTGACATACCCTCAGCTAGGGCTGCTCGATTATGGCAAAAATCATAATCTCGATTATTTGGGTCAATAATTGTAAATGCGATTATTCATTGACTTTGAAAACATCCATTTATTAAAAAAAATGTGAACAGTATGTTTTTAACAGTTGATTACCCTGAACTTTAAGTATAATTCAACTGAAAAACCAAAAAAAAAGAAAATCGTTTTATTTCGATTACGTTGTTTTCGTAATCGTTGCACGCCGTAATCGCGATTAATTGAGCAGCCCTACCCTCAGCTGCTTACGCTTTATTTTCCATTATTTTGCTCTTCTTTCCTCCTTTGGATTTTGGTTATAATTATTATCAAGCACTCCTAATATTTTATTATCTGGCTGAATCACAACTTGTTAACGTCTCCTGAGATATAACACAAAATGGAAATAATGTTGAGACAAGCAACATTCTTGTTGAGTCTGTTTTTGCAATGAAATTTAAGAAGCTAGCTTCCCGTTCATAAGAGACCAGTGGATAACAGTCTGAGTGCACTATTATGAAAGCCCAGTCTCAGATCGATCCTATTTATTTATATCTATATGGAGCAGCAGAAGTGACTTTTCCAGTAATGGAGGAATTATTCTTGAATAATTTATAGTTTTCTTGGTCCACTGTTATGCGCATAACAGTGAACGAACAAAACTGAACTGGCATAATTGTTGCATTAAAAGGCACTGTAACAGTTTGTCTCACCATCTTTTTCAGGCTCAGTCGCTCCAGTAGCATGGCCTCAAAACAAGAAACTGACTCCGACACACAGGACATCCCTGTCATCTCCCAAATCAATAAGGCCAAACATTTTGAAAAGAAAGTCATGGTCAACAGTGCCAGCCAATCCATGAGCTCCCCTCCAAGACAGGACCATTTAGACAACGGAGACACTACCGGTGACATCTCTTCCCCTCCCCCGCCAAGGCAGATCCTCAAGCGCTCCACCACACGAAGTAGCTCTTCCTCCTTCTCAGAAAGTCTGGACCCAGCGCTGGACCCCTCATCTCTCCCACCTCCGGACCCCTGGCTGGAGAGTGGGAATGGTAGTAGCAGCAGCGTTCCCCAGAGCGGAGGAGCGGGGACGCTGTGTCGGAGAGACGGCCACTGGTTCCTGAAGCTGCTGCAGGCCGAGACGGGACGCATGGAAGGCTGGTGCCATCAGATGGAGCAGGAGACCAAAGACAACCAGCTCTCAGAGGAGGGTAAGGCTGCCAGGGGACACCTACACTTAGAAAAACTTCTAAAGTTTAGGTGGAAAGAGACTACTTTTACCCCTGAGTGTGACCTCAGAGCTAGTGCTTCTAGCTACTTTCTTGAGAAATGAAATGTGTGCTGTACATCAACACACCAGACAGAATTGTTTGTAGGAAGACAAATCAAACACTGATGGTGTCATTAATCTACAGCATGTACATGATGCAATCCACAGTCACTTTGTAATGACAAAGTTAAAGCACCTTAAATTGCCTCTGGTTTCCATCTCCAGGCTGGGCTGTGGGGGAATGAAAGAGGAAGCGTCTTTACAAGTCCACCTGACCAGTTTGCACACTATGGGGATCAAATCTGTTTCGTTCCCTTAACAGAAACTCATGCAAGGGGGATTTTGAAATATCACAAGTGAATTTGAATTACAATAATATGTTTCTTTAGCTGCTAGACTAGGTACCAAAAACGAATGGCATAATGAATGTCAATCTTCCAAATCGAGTTATTTGGCCCAGAAAAAAAGGAAAAGCATTGCTGAAGTCAAACCCTCTGAATGAACCCTGCGTCCTGAGCCTCCTTCCAGAGGTCTTTAGCTGTCTGACCCCACCATGCGGTCCAGAGCTCAGTTATAGAGCCCTGCTCGCTTATTGAGTTCCGCCTCAGGCCCGACAATCACTCTATCAGACATACTCAGCATGGAGAGGATGAGGCAGTAATACCTGGGGTTACCACACACAAGCAGGCCTGTAATCCCCGGCATTACACAAATCTACTCTGGAACTGATTAAACCTCCAGATTAGATTAGTGCTTCGACCGCAGCAACACACACATACACTGTTTGTACACACAAACAAATAAACAGTGGTAAGGCTTTTGATGCTCAGTTCTTATCAGAGGCACATCATTGGATGAATGAGGCTCTGTGTGTCTTTGGGAGCCCATGTGTTTCTTCTTTTTGTCATAAACAATGTCTGTGTGACTTCCTTTAACGTAAAGTTGTCAGTATTAAAACATGTATGCAAATCTGTAGCTGGGTCTCAACGCAGTATAATCGCATAGCCAAAACTTTACAATCCAGTGATCAGATCAGAGTCCCAATTTTGGGCAGATGTTTGGCCTATATTTGATACAGCAACAGACAAGCGCTGACAGACAGTGTATGTATACAAGCTTGGATGCCTTTTTTTAAAGAGGATAACATTATCTAATACACTGTAATCCTCTTCTTGCCACCCTGTGGAGTTAGTTGGGCAAAGTACATCTAACTGTCTAAACACCTGAAGTAATCTTTTGGTTAGCACCACACCACAACCATTTGCAACACAGAATAGTTGAGGTTGTTGCTGAACCCTGATATAGACATTGTTTTTTTTGTACAACACTATAGCCAGGGCACTATATTGGCTCGTACCACCTTCTAAATAACAGTACATTACATTTTGTCAGTGGCTGGTAAAAATGTCAGGTCATCTGTCACCAGGTAGGTGAATATAGGCTTACCTTATATTAAGAAATTACATTTTTGGAAGGAATTTATGAGAAAAACATTGAGAGGACATGAAAGTGTTGAGTGACCTGCTGTAGTGGAAGGTAAAAACAAGCTTAATTTCAGACCCTGACTGTAGCCGAGAAAACTGGGTGTGTGTATCATCCATAGGTTGAATAACAGGAGGCCTCTGAGATCAATAATTATCACAAATTCCTGAAAATGTATGTTTCTTTTGGCTTTTGGTTCTCTCTTCAGTGCTGGGGAAGGTTCGCAGTGCAGTAGGATGTGCCCAGCTCCTCATCTCCCAGAAGTTCCAGCAGTTCCGGGGACTGTGCGAACAAAACTTGGTGCGTACAGTGTATGGCCTTTCTTTGACCAAAAGCAATGTCTTCTGCTAAATTCCTTGATTCAGGTTAAGGCTTTCACACACAAATAAGTGTGGGAAGAGCCGAGATACACAACATATGACGCCATCACAGAATAAGTCATTGTGGCCAATCAGCACAAAATACAAGGAGCTTACAATAAGCCTCTAAGCTATTTCTCTTGTGTGATGTGTTTTACTGAAAATGGCCTTATACTAATTTTGGCCAACTACCAGCACATAAAACAATAACTGTTTTTTACACGTTGGTTCTCATGAAGCTCAACTTCCAAAATATTGACCAGATGATCATGACTGATACATTATGAACGTCTTCGTTAGCTTCATTGAACTTGACCTACATTAAACAACATCACATGGCCACATCAAATGCTGTCGTTATGTTTATGTGCTATTTACACAATTGAGGTTTCTCTATGAATAAATTATTGAGCCTTAGTTACAAACAAACAACAATTAGTGCTTTTACACAATTAGTACTTCTGCACGTATACAGTCTCCTGATTCACTCTTTTACGTGTGTCAATATGTAATTGAATTTGCTGATGTGCAATGATTAATATCTAACTTGTAATTGCGCTACCATTTCGGTAACTTCACAGGGTTGTTCGCATGATAGTGTACATTTTGTTTTTCAAAATTAAAACTGGAGAAGTGCAGTATCATAAATAAGAGAGTATAAATAGTAATAGCATTATAAACTGCAGGATTTACTTCAGCTGTTTGTAAACAAGTAAGGGGTTTAATCTGTTGTTACTTTTAATCTTTAAAGGGCACTGGGTCCAGAATGATTGCATTTCTTTTTGCTGACATTATAACAGATTTAATGTCCCTGTAGAATTAAAGTGCCGGCTTACCGTACTAAAAAGGACACAGCTCTGTGTGGTTAACCTTTATTTTGACCCGGAGACATGGACAAGAAAGCTGTGAAATAGCTCCCTCTAGTGATGAAAAGGGGAAACACTTGATGACATATACAGCATGTAAGCAATGCAGTGCAGACGTAAAGTACAGTAATAGGACGACATTTTGTTGCAATTAAATTACCATTAGATGAAATCAGTAAGTTCATTTAGGTTTTCTCCGTTGGCCTGATGTTGGCTTCTTCTTGCACTTACCTCTTCACATTAAGGAACAACAATGTTTTTTTAAACCAGGATCAGAGAAAATTGGGATGGTTGGTTTTGGTGGTGCTGACCCACAAAAGCTGCCCCATAGAGACCCCAACCCCCGTCCCCATTCTCACTTTATGGACACATCTAGCACAAAGTATTTTTGGAAATATGGCCTAGTTTTTACTTGCTAAATATTATCCAAAAAAAAGTTAGTTAGAATTGAATAATTTTGCTTTTTTATAATAACTTTTTTCATGATGTAGCTGATCTGTTCCGGCTTGTGATGACCTTGGATGCATTGAAGGTGTATTGTTTGTTTTTCTGGTACCTCAGGGCCAATCGGCCATTAAATAGCCCATGTGCTGAGTGTCAAATGTCGTTCTTACACCAGTACAGTATGCAAACAGCGTAGCCCAAAGCAAGAAGTGAAATAGACTTGTAGTTATGTAATGGGCTCTGACTAGTTGATTCAAAGCTGGTTGTAATGCTTTACAAAAAGAATAAGCAGAATAAAAATCCACTAGTATTTTACAGCTCACTTTCAAAGGCGAGACATTGGCTTTCACTATACACACTGGCTTGTGTGAGATTAGTTTTGCTCTTGAATTAACTGTGATGCTGGTTGCTCTCTTACATTTCATACATTCTCCGCTCCAACATTGACTGTGTCCACAGAATGTGAATGCCAACCCGCGGGCCACCGCCCAGGACCTGGCGGGCTTCTGGGACCTGCTGCAGCTCTCCATCGAGGACATCAGCCTCAAGTTTGACGAGCTCTACCATCTCAAGTCCAATGACTGGCAGCCCGTGCCGTCTGCGGCCGCCCAGTCGCCCCCTGAGCGGAAGGTACTTCCCACCCCTGCTGCCCAGTGCGCTGGCTGGGGTAGGAAAGCCGCCGATACCGGCCTCTCTCCTCCCACCACCACCACCATTTCTCCCACTCTTTTTTACTTCCTTCCCCCTGTGTGGGATGAACTCTAACAGGGCGCCCACTATAACACAAAGGGGCCAGAGAGATCCCTTTAGGCATGCATGGAAAAATATATCTCAAAGAGGGCTGTCGATGGTGTGTTTTTAAATGTAAAGCCCTGCTTTGAGCATGCATGCGTCACTTACTGGTATGCTGGTTGCAGTGGAGCATGGCTAAGATGTACTAGCTCGTGACAGAATGCAGTCTTGCTTTGCTTCTTCTCTGTTTAAATGTCTTGGTTTGTGTTTGTGAGTCTGTCCTTGTTTTCCTTTCTCTCTCTCTATTGTCTAGCCCAGGTCGATGAGGGAGGGGTAAATGTTGTCAAATTGAGGAAAACATTCACCAGGAGAGTTTTCTTGACTAATAGAATGAATTCTGGGGGTTGGAGCTTAGACTTTCCGGCTTTCATTTTTAAGGACCACCCTACGTGAGGCTAAACTTCAAGGTTGATGGGGGAGGGGTAAATGTTGTGGGAATTTGAATAAAATTCACCAGGAGAGTTTTCATGACTATCATAACGAATTCCGGTGGTTGGAGCTTAAAATAAATGAATTTGAAAATGTACATGGCACTAAGGACCACCCTACTTTTCATATGTTTATGTGTGCGTTGGGATTCGTAGCTGAGTTGCTCTTGCTTTATGTTGCTTTGCAATGCAAGTGCATTGACTGTGTCTTGTGATCCCTTAATTCTGCTTTTAGTTTGATCCAACGTGGCCATTAATTCATGTTACCATTTCATGACTTCAAAAATTGTCATGTTAATGATTGTTTATTCTCAAATATTTGCCTGTTTTTACCAGGTGTCTTTTTGTCAGAGTTTTTCTGTTTGAAACCTAAAATCACTACATTTTATTTCAAGCTTTAATGAAAAAGAAAAGCATTGTCCTCGTCAAAGTCCTGTCTGCCAGACCTGCCCAGACTGATTGATGCTCTTGAAGACAGTTTCCACATTACAATCTCTCACTCTCTTTTTCTCCTTGTTTCGCACTTTGCTCTTTCTCCCTCCCTCTTTCTCCTCCTTTTTCTGTCATGTTTCCTTACTCCCAACACTACAGGACGAGGAGAAGGAAACCGCTCCGGTGTCAAAGAAGCCCGGTAAGGGGCGACCATCGCTGGGCCGTGAGAAGAGCGCAGACTCTGCATCCACCTCTTCTTCGGCTTCAGCAGAGAAGCAGAGACACGAGGCTCGCAAGCGTCTACTGGCTGCGAAAAAGGCTGCCTCGTTTCGCCAGAACTCCGCAACAGAGAGCGCGGACAGCATCGAAATCTATGTCCCTGAGGCCCAGACTCGCCTCTGAAAGAGATTGAGATAGGGAAGCCATTATGGTCGGATCAAAGGACCGATAAGTCGCTGAAAAACTGAGGAAAACTTTTGCAGTGCAACTGAGCTACTCTGAGTTTATATGGATGGAGGTGTGGGGAGGAGAGATGAAATTCCCAGAGATTGGGGGGGGGGTTGGATTTGGGCATTTTTGACACACACTTATACAGTTATAGGCTGTTCCTGGTGGCTCCAAGTGCTTATAACGAAAAGAAAATGACTGGACTCGACAGACTTTGAAGCGGGTGACTCCTCGTTTGAGGCTGCCATTGAAAACCTCAGCTGATTTTATCATTTCTTGTTCCTACTCTTGATATCATAAAATTGTTAATGAAAGTATTGTTATAATGACAATTATATCCTAAAGAATCTATATGAAGACTGTTTTAAACGTTCCTCTAACTTGGCTATAGGATCTATTAAGTGGACAGAAGGCAAACATTAATGCTCTTCTGTCTTTCATCGTCCTCCTCTCTTCCCAGATCATTGGCCATCTTGTAGCTTTGCACAACACCGCCCTGTGGCCATCACACACACACACACACACACACACTGCGCACATGTCTACTGCATCTACACACACTACAAACTCTCGCCTATGTATGTCTTCCTTGTATTTATTTGTTTAATTTACTCATCCTTTTGTTTTGAATAGAAATCCACTTTTAGATTTGGTAATTATGAATATGTTTGGTATGATGAAGTTGACTTTCAGATTTGAAGGGGTATTTATATATTTCCTAATAATTAGCACTTGTGTGTGTGTCCTCCAAAATGTTATTGTGTCAAAGATTTAAACAAATCTATAAAGTTTAAAGAATGACTTTAAATGAAAGCACATCACAAATGTAATGATGACTTATCATGAGGATCTCTTTTTCAATCAGAATATCAGCACCCACAGTAATGCTGATTATTATTATTTGTTCAACGCTTTTTAAAAATCTCTTTTTTTAATCTCTGTCCCATTAACTTTTGTTTTCAATGTGCTGTAACTTCAGATTCGTAAATATTTTGGTCAGGACTTGTTCCATCTGGTTGTTTAATAGCTTCTTTGAGTGCTTTTATTAACCTCACTTAGCATTCAACTCATACATCTTAAATTAATGTAGGGCTTTTATTGAAGTAATGCAGCAGGCTGAGCATGCAGGATAACATTATGGAATTTTTCATAAGGGTCTCGCTGTTATTTTTATACAATGTTTCTATAAGTCTTTTGATTTATTTTGCCTCGAATCACTCTGCGAAATGAATCTACGTTCCATTATTTTTTCCCCTTATTGAACGTCATTCAAAGTACCTGCACTTTTTTTAATCCAAGAAAAGATATTTAATTAAAGCATTAAATACATTAGTCTTTGTGTTTTCATCATTTATTAAATGCTGCTTGTTTTTTATTTTGTATGGAAGACGGCAAAGCCAAATACACTGTTTTACATTCATCTGACATACTGTATTTAAATGTCGTCATCTGAGAGCTAAATGAGGAAAATAGAGAGGAGCCTAGCCACAGCACCGCATGTAATACAGGTTTAACCTTTTGATGCACATGCCAAGAAACAACAGCCCAGCACTACAACAATACTGACTAACTGCTTAGGAGTGACCCCTCCCCTTCTCAGCCTGGAAACTCACATATTCGAGTGTTTAACTTCTGACCTCTAGGGGGCAACAGTGGTTACATTTCAATCCAAAATGCAATACATTGGAGTACACTGAATGCATACAATGAAAATACATGCTCATTATGCCAACAGTCAGCCCTGCCCTGTTTTGCATTAAGAGGACACATTGTGTGGATTACATATACAGACTCGTCTGTCTTATTTGATGCCAGTTCTCAAATCAAAGAGGCCTCTTGGTTCATGACTCATTCCTCTTTAGGATCTCACAGTAGAACACATCCAACCAAAAAGTAAATCCTGACTTGCCTTGCATTTCCTTTAGTGGTCCGCCTGTCTTCCACTCAAATTTGGTAACATCCAATTGCTAAGCAAACCTAACTTCCCTTACCTAATTAGTTATGTTAAACTATTGCAGTTGCATAGCTTTGGCTGCCGCAATCATCACCCACTGTGACCCAAAAATGCAGCCTGGGGCTTTGAATTGAAAAAGCCTGATGACCACTATTCTCTCTCTATCTTGGCAAGAGCTTTCTCTTGATGGCGGGCCTTTTGTTTGTCTGTTGTGTTTGCCAGCTGGGGATGACTCTCAGCAAGGAAAATGGCTCAGGGGTGTCAATAGTCTGTTCCCTGGTTGCTGTCAATGCCCCCCACCCCCATCTCTATTTTAGTAGGGTGGATTGCATCGTTAGCACCTGAAGGCCTTTTGTGTGACTTGAACTCAGTCGTTTACGTGATTTAATTTGACTGCTAGGAAAAAGTTGTGTCTGACAAGTTGTGTTTATCCAAAAGAAGATGTGTGTTGTCAAATTAGGTTCCTTCCAGTTTCACCAATTTGAGAAAATGTTATAGAAACAAATTATTGATCTATATGTCACAGATATCAAATAGTCAGTTGTAAAAATTACTGCGTCTTGTGTGTGCAAGCATGCTAGCTTAAAATATATTGAAAGAACTAGATTTGAATCTCTAATGCCAGAATATGTTTAACATTTGAACATTGTTTCCCCACTTGCCACATTGTCAGGTCAAAACTATGCTGTCTGTCACCCTTCCTCACACAAAACCTAGGTCTTCCCAACTTGAACGCAGATCAAACACTATGTGCCATAAGTAGTAAGTAAAGGAGGCCAGAGAAAGTGTTCCCACAATCTAACCATCAAAAACTAAAAGACAATGCTTTTGCTAGACTGCTAAAACTTGGATGTGTAAAATGTCAGTCCTGTCAGTGATATATTCACTGAGAGAGAAGAGAGCTGATCTCATACATTCAAACAAGGCTTCCCTTCAATACACACAGATATCACTGGGACACACCTAGGTCTATTTCCTAGGAAAGGTTATACATGATCCAAATGGCTGCACTGTGGGGGGAAGGGGGTGGGTTGATGTTGGTGTAAAGCCATTGATTTGAGGGCGATAAAGGTTCCTTATATAGGTTTGATGCATCTGGCCTTTGAAAGTCAATACTGTCAAAACTGTCATTTCATCATTTGCTTAAACGTCTGTTTTGGTAAAGCTTCATTTTGAAAAGTCAAAAGGGTATTCAACACTTGTTTTCAGCTGCACTCTATAATGTCTCTCCTTCAACCACAAATAGTGAAGTTGGTAAAATATATTATCATCCATAAATGCAAGAGAAAACAAGTTTAAATGTCAAGCAAGAACTAATCTAAATCATTTATAATGTTGCTATGGTCAAATTTGTAACATATATACCATGATACAAATGTACCTTTTAATGTGTTGCTTTTGTTCCTTCTCACATCACACATAAGAAGTAAATTCTACTGTTTAAGATGTATTTTTCTGCATTCCAGGGCTGAAACAAGTTTGATCAGTAGAGGCTACAAGAAAAGAGAGACAGTTTAATCCCTGGAAGAGAGCATACCTCATTGAATCTACTCCCATACAGTACTCTAGGCCTGATAGCAAAAAAAAGGCCCAGCTCATTAGCATCTGTGCTTTGTTCAATTTAGGGCATAAAACCCGGAAAGGGGTGAGGAGCATAGCTCGTACTACGAGAGATGTGTTAAAGCAAAAAGTGTATGTAAAAATACTAGGACAAATATCTTAGGAAGCAAGCACATATTTTAAAGACTATGATGTGTTCAGTATAATACTCTATAGGCTGTGTGTATGTCAGAGTTGTGGGGGTTTAGTATAACAGAGCTGTAATGTTTGAGAAGAAGTTGTGAGTGAGAAGGTTTGTAGTTCATGGAATAACATTTAAAGTATACGTGCAATACTGAGTAAAGGGGTTAATTGATATTGAACACTTATAGCATTGCATTTCTCGCCCCTTTGCTTCTTAAAGTTGTCTTCTGTAAATACACCAGACTGAAAATCTTCATCTTTTACAATGCTGTAGATCTATTTATACTATTTCAAGGTTGTTAAAATGTATAATGGAGAGACGTATAATAAAATGCACACGATACTTTCTCAAAAAGTTCATCATGGCTGTATTATTTGTACTGTTTAGAAGCTGTTTTATCAAAACATGTTTTCATTTTATATTAAAGGTTGTTTCAGGAGCTGAAACGTTATATATAATAGTTTTAACAATCCTGCTAGATTTGATTATCACTCCAAAGCTGTTCCAATCACATGCTCTTTTTTACATGTTGCCTGGCCATCCCTTTTGAAGCCTACGATGATACATGAATACATCGTGTACATTTGGTTCAAAAAGCAAGTTAAAACCTCGTTAGAGGTACATTGCTGTTTTGCATTATGCTATCGTGCAGTAACTTCTTTTCTGAAATCTCCCGCTTATTTGGCCCTGGGACTCTTCGGGAGGTTCTCATGAATAAACGCTTCCAAGACACATTAGCCTGACAAGTCTTGCGTCAAACCAACTGTAGAATTGATGTCTAAATATCCAATCAGAAATGACCCAAAACAGTCTGAGTCGAAATAGCTTGGTTTATTGTGTTATGGACTGCGGCCACCAGTCGACGCTTTCGACGTTATGATTTATGTAACAAGAACATTTTGCTGAACGTTACGTAAAGCCTCTTCACAACACTGTGTGGCTGTCTTTCTTCCCGCACACAGCAAAAAACGACTTAAATGGCTGTGAAAGATCACTACAGTTATATTTTTACACAGGCTTGAGTCGATGTAACTGTGGCATTTCAACCGCGTCGAGGAAAATAACATTGTTTCAATGACTGCGCTTTACTTTGAATGAAATGGTTCTCCCGTCAGTCACATTTACACAGAGCCCTGTCTGCTTCCTGACGGAGCGCCTTGATTGGTTAACGGCTTTCCAGGAGGCTCAATGGAGGTCCGTGATTGGCTGACAGCTGTTGATGAGGCGGGATCATTTCAGCTGCGACTGTCAAGATTGGCAAAGAGCTGGCGCTGCTGCGTGCAGGTAAAAGGAACAAGCGACACAAAACAGAAAACATTTATCTTGGCAGAAAGCGAGGAGTGCGATGGAAACGGACTCTCCGGTGAAACATTTTTGCGCCGCAGAAAAGCAAAACGTTTAGGTCGGCGAGAAAGCGCAACACCTTCAGCTTCTTGAAAGAAAGTGCCGTTGTGTCAACCATCGCTCGGATCCCGGGCACGCTTTGTACCGCAAGCAACTTGGACAGCTGCGTGTTTTCAAGCCAGCCATCAACAAAGAATGAAAGCATTCAAACGAGGTGAGCCTCACCGTGTTTCTATCACTACACGTTTAAACCACACACCATGTGCTGTCTATAACTCTGTTGTGTCTTTGCTGTTGGTTTTGCCTGGAATGCGGGCTTTTTGTTGCGAGCAAATGCAGCGTGTGTTTGTGCTCAAATTTGGAGGGACAGCTAGCCAGCTAGTTATCTCTGGAGGCAGGAGCATGGTGTCCATCTGGCGGCGTGACATGCGGGAGGCTGTGCTTTGCTGCCTGCCTCCTTTGTGCGCTCCAGATGGCTAATTTACCGAGTAGCTCGTCGGTTTGTTTCTTTTAAAGTAACATTTATACTTATCAAATAGGCTTTTTTCTCCGTGTATGATTTCACTGTGGGTGTGACGTTATTTATTTGACAAAGCAAGCTGGTGTAAAGTTGATGTTTGGACTGGCGTTACTAACGGTCAGATTCAAATTCTTACCTCGGCGTGTTGTTAAGTTGAGTTCACTGTGGAGCAAAATTTGAAATGAGGACCATTTGTTCTCGCGTTTACAAGAATGAACAAGATACTCGTATTACTTTCCATGAGCATTTACTAGCTTATTTAGATAGGGGAGACATTTGGTAAACAAAAAGTTTGGCTGCCTGAGAGACGTTGCTGATGTGACATAATGTACTATTCTAACATCTGTCTAAAATACGTCATTGTTGATTGATTCATGATCCCACATTGACTGGCTGGAGATGGCTTAGGTTCATCATGGGAGAATGTAGCATTATTGTGGGCCACATCTCTGGCTAACTGTTATTTGAAGTAGGATAACCTGAGATGTCTGTCTCAGGTTATCCAACATGAATGTTGCTAATGAATGGGAGACTGGAGTTGCTGATTGGAGTATTTTCAGACCCAGTTAGACTTAATTAGACTGATAAACTTTAGTCTATTTTAAGAGTTTTATAGAGCTGAAATTCATACTTCAAGGAATATTTTTGGCACAATGTGCAAAATCCAAGTGGTTTTCAGTTCAGTGCAAAAAACCAGGTTCTATCAGGTTGCATTTAAACAGCTACAACGCTTGACAAACTGTTAAAGTCATTTGACTCCATCCAAGAATCATTCATTTGGGTCAAAACATTTGGTTAAAAGTGATATATCAGGAATAAAATCACAGTGTTGCATTCAAGTAGTTATCTACAATGCCTACCCTTCCCTTGACACTTAAACTTGTTGGGGGAAGCTAATTTGCAGAGATTTGGGGAAATGCACCAAATTAGCATTTTTATGTTTTGATTTCCCCTCCCACTTTTCTACCTTGGTTTAGTACTTTCCTCATTGTCGAGGAATGCAGAATTCACAAGACTTGTCAACTACTCCAGCAGTCTTGAGCCAGAGTGGCATGAGGTGAAAACAGCCTCTTTTGCATGGTCAAAAGGTTCCTTGGCCACTGGCTACTGTGATGTTGATATCCACACAATCTTCTTTGTGAAGACAGCCGCTGCCCCAGGGGTCAGGTTTCAACCAGCCAGAGAGAAAGACATTTACTGCATTCTGTGGCCCACCCCTGGGATCAGGCATGCTCCATTTTGAGTGGAGATTCTCTCCAGTGGCCAACCACGGACTGACAGCAGAAAACACACAACAAAGTTCAAACCTCAAAGCCATTGTTTAAATGTGTTCAGACCACAGACCTCACTTTGAATTGGGTAAAATTGTCAGGTTAAAAGTAACGGAAGAGTTTTGTTTCATTGTTGTGCCAAATCAGTGGAAACAAGTATTTTAGTATTTTTAATTTCCTGTATTAAAAAAAGATGAACCCAACACCCATTTTACAGAACACTCCTTGTGAATGTATAGCCATTTATACTATTCCTTATACTTAAATTGTGGCCCAAAAAAAGGATATGTCAAAAAACAACACTGAAGATTACCCTTTTTTATACCTAATGCTGAGCAGATTTAATGTAAACGTTATGGCTAAATGGAATTCTGGGAACCTGACTGACAGCTCTGCTCCTCCCCCTCAGCTCTGGAAGAAGAGCATCGCCCGGATCAGGAGCACTCTTCGGCGATGTCGGACAGTGATGACGGCTCGCCGCTCGACCTGTCAGGAAGGGGGCTTTTCGGGAAGCGCCGTCGCCGCGGCAACCTGCCCAAGGAGGCGGTGCAGACTCTGCGCAGCTGGCTGTACGAACACCGCTTCAACGCCTACCCGTCAGAGCAGGAGAAACTCAGTCTGTCGGGCCAGACCAACCTCTCTGTGCTGCAGGTGAGGACAATTTATTATTTATTTTTTGTTAAAAGTGTTATAAACCATTTTTTGTTTTTTTTTACCAGAGGTTTTCAGCATCTGCCAGAGAAATGACACTTGTGGTAGACACTGATTCTGCAGTCTAGTGGACCTGTCAGGTTGTCCTTTTGAATTTGTAAAAGGTTGCTTTGATAGTTAATATTAGTGCACAGTCAATTTACTAATGTGTTATCACTATAAAGTCTGATGTTGCTCACTGTTTTCTTTAAGGAAACTTCACCCAACACAGTAAACAGGTGAAAGCAAAACAAAAATCTGATGTAATCACCAAACTGCAGCCTGAGAGTGAGCCTTTTCCAGCCTTCCCTTTTCACTTCATTGCATCAGTAGTAGACGTTTCCTCTTTGCCTCAACACACAGGCGTGCGCAAACACACTGGCAGCATTAGAGAAGGCGTTAAAGATCAGCGTGAGGCAGCAGCACAGTTCCTTGTTATGTAGTCAGTTCACTGGAATGCTTTTGGCTGGCTTCTCTGTGGCTCAGCATATTTGAGTGCAGACCTTCATTATTGCCAGCTGTCTGAGGGCTCTCATCTCTGTCTGTCTCACTCTTTCTTCCCTGTGTGGGCGACTGTACCACTAGAGGGGGTAAGTAAAGCCTCGTGTGCACATGTACATGAAGAAAAGTGTGTAGGTGGTTTTTAAAATCACAGGCCTCCAGAACATTTTTAGAGCTAGAATTATGCCAGGGTTGGGTTATGGATCTGTAAAAAGTTATTTTGAACCAAAGAAGGGTTGCTTTTTTTAACTGATTAAAGGCTATCTTTGTGACTAAAACTCATTTTCTTTGAAATGTATTCACGTTTATCATCCATGTAAGCTTTCAGAATCAGTTCTGTAATACCTACATTTCTTCCTCTTTCCCCTAGATATGTAACTGGTTTATCAACGCGCGTCGTCGCCTCCTCCCTGACCTGCTTCGCAAAGATGGCAAAGATCCCACCAAGTTCACCATCTCGCGCAAGGTCGGCAGTAAAAGTGACAGCCACTACAATGGAGGCTGGAGCAGATCTTCAGAAAGCAACTCTTCCACCAGCCCCTCTCAACAACGCCCGTCGGTCATCCGCTCCGCCCCGACCCTGGACCTCAGTCTTCTCGGGAACACGGCGACGGCTATTCTCACTGGAGCGGGTTTCCCTGGTAACGAAGGGTCGGTCCAGGCGCTGATGAGGCTGGACACACAGAGCCTTATAAGGGAAGCAGAGGAACAGAGGGCAAACACGTTTTGTCCCACCAGCACAACAATGGCAGCTAGCCCCAGCGTCGGCCTCTTCAACACGCCTCCCCCCACTCCCCCCGAGCTGTTCCCCACTCAGGACTTCAGCGACCTGAGGCTCCTGGTGGACGCAGCTCTGCAGAGGGCCGCAGAACAGGAGAACCTGAAGAGGCTACAGGAGAGCCAGAGCAGACCCACAGAGGCTGTAAAGACTGAACAGGTGGAGTCGCAGTGTTACAGCAGTGACATGGGCCCCACGCCGCCTCCAGAGGACAGCCAACAAGTCATGGATCCTTCCAGGGTTCAGAGTCTGATGGAGAAGGCTATGTCTGTGTCAGCTGTTACTGCAGTACAGGATCCAGAAATGCTTCCTTTAACCGTATCAGTACCAGTGCCGGTGCCAGTTTCAGCCTTGGTTTCAGCCCCGAGGCTATCTCCTCTCCTCATGAATAAAGTCACCTGGAGCCCCGTGGAGAATGACATAACTTCCAGCGTAAAGCAGGCTCCGCTCCTCCCAGCCCATCTGCCAAACGTGGTGCCAGTGTCCGCAGTCTTAGGACTGCACAATCCTCAGAACCCAGCTGCTGCTCAAGCCAAAGCCCCAGCTTCATCTCCAGCTCCACTGCCTACAACATGTCCTACAGAGTTGGTATCTGTTCCATCACCTGTTGTACTCCCAGCCACAAGGCCTTTCAGCCAGACATCATCCCATACGCTTTTTCCAGCTGCTCCTTCTCCAGCCACCACCTCTATCACAGACCCCAGAGGTGTCCCACTTTACCTGCCATTCCACAAATCCCCCGTCATCCCAGTCACAGTTCCATGTACGCCGCTCTTTTCAGCTGCAGTGTCGTCTCCGGCCTCTGCCCAAACTCCAACTCCCCTCCCTGTTTCAATCCCAGCATCATCCTTTACACCAGCGATGCAGCCCCCTCTGGGCCTGATGTCCCACCTCTCTGCTCCTCTTCAGCTTTCTTCCAGCAGCATTAGTGTTAGCAGCGCACAGAGGAATTCAGCAGTGGTGCCCAGTGTTTGGAGCATGGTCCATGCTGATAGCAGGCAACCCACTTCTCTTCAAGTGGTAAAGACCCCCATCACCACGGTGTGGGGCCCACAGCACAGCCTGCACACAGTGAGTGAAGCTGTTAACTAGGAGCTGATTTTTCTTCTTTTTAATATAAATATATATATCTTGGAAGATAGGGGGCAAACATTCCTGTTGGCTGGACTACACTGTACATAGGAGAATGTATGTTCATCACCAGTCCCCTTTCGTCATAAACGCATGTGCCTGCAGAAAACAGGATGTGAAATCAGATTTATGAACAAGGACAAAGTGAAGTAACAAACATGAGTTGTTATAAAGACTTGCTGTTTCAAGCAACCTTTTTTTAAATGTGCTGTTCCTCGATGAAGGCAGCTGCCGGTAAGAACACTTTTGATGTCATTTCTGAAAAAGGAACATTCCTGTGTGGAGAGCTAATGTGTTGTACAGTTTTGATGCCATTTTCAAACCTCTTTCCGCATTACAATTTATGAATGAAGATGAAATATCCCGTAATTGTAAAAATGTTCAAATGATGTCATTGTCAGGACCAGCAGTTAGCCTCTTCAGTAGCAGACCTGGACTGTATTGAATGTACAAAGACATTGATATCATTGGCTAGGCTGCCTATCATCCATTTCCCTCCAGCATAAAAAGGAGGGAATTTGTTTTGTTATTCCCACGCATAGCAACAATGTTGTAGTCGTTCAGATTTTCTCTCAAGAATTGAGTCTGTTCTTTTTATAAATTCACCCTGTCTCCATCACATCCCACCCCCTTCTTCCTGGCTTTTTATAGCAGAGGGGGATTCATTTGCACTCATGAATTGTCATCTCAACCACTCAACGCATGCTTTAAAGCATCATGTATTTTCTTATTTAGCTATTTCCAATCCATAAAAACAAAAGCCTATTTCTGTGTTTTTGCTCAAAGCAGTTCTGTCCGTGTAATTGTCCTAGATCCGTTGTGTACGATTTTCAGGGACTGTTGTTGAAGTGCGCTGTGGCCACAGGATGAAGGGGAGAGGGTCACATTGGATCTGTTACAGAAATCAATTTCAGTGAGGAGGTGAGCAGCTTGGTGGTCTGATGACATCGAGCTCTGACAGCTCCTGGAATGAAACTTTAATCCTGCTCTGAGACTTTATCTTTTGTGGTGGAAAAACACTTTAAACATTGGATCCATTATTATATAGATTTCCCAGTTCATTTGGGGCCATATGAATTTGTCAATTTAGTTCAAACCTGAATGTCTTACTATTTGAAAGTTGAATTGATGCATGTAGTGTCTCGACGAAACAAATGTAGCGGATGATCTGCAATGGCAGACATTTGCTGGAGGTTTTCCTCCCAAGGGGGGTACAACAGCACAACATCAAGTGTTCCTCATCTGTGCTCATCCACCTGTATTTAGAAATGGTTACAATAGGATTTCTTATCATTCACAAAGCTGTAGTTTCCATGAAACTGTTGTAGCATAAACCTCTATATGACTGAATGCCATCAGGGCATCAGTTAACGGTGGCATCATGTGGAAGAGTTCCTATGTGAATAATACTATAGCAGGATTGTGCATTAAATCTTCACAACTGTCATGTTTACCGGTGTCATTTAGCTGTACACAATATCATTTTAAAACCGCAAGTAGCAGGAGACAACAGAAGAAGAAAGTCTGATGAATGGTCAGAGTATTTGCTTCATCGCACTCAGAAAGCTTTCATAGCAGATATCAAATCTCGTACGCTGTGTTTTGTTTGACCCTCCTTACTGCTTGTAATGCTCTGTGGATGTCGTAGGAGGTACTCACTAGACTGATGTGCATTTATACCTCAATTTACACAGGTCATGTCAGACTTGGGTCATATGTAGAATACTAAGTATTAAAGTAATATTTCTATTGTTCATACTACATCATGCCACTGTGACAAAACCTCTTATCTGATGACATACTGGAAACGGCTGGCTAAAGATTAGGAAGGCAGGTTTTTTTTATAGCACGGTTAATGTGATTTTTAGATGCAAAATGGCGTTCTGATCAGACAATGTGATGACACATGTAAATATTTTTCACGGTCATGTTTTTTTGTTTGCATTGGTATTTTTTTCACAAAAATATCAAACTGTTTATTTACAGCCAAACGCATTATTATAAAGTCTTTTTCAAGTTTGTTGTGAATCATGACTGACCGCTAGCAGTATGATAGGCTGCTGTGCCTTAAACCTACGACTGAGGGACTAATGTCTCTTTTTTTATATATAAAAACTTCTCAATAGTCTGTGCAATATATGCCTTAAACTTTAAATGTGTTTTTGTATAAGCATTTCAAAGAAATAAAAGTTCAGTTTTTCATAAATGGTATTTCTTTTCTGTCTTGTGTTGCCTTTTCAAATGCTGACTTTAAATTGATTTACTTTGTGTGAATAAGCAATATTATAAAAACATTTTTGCCTTTTTTACAGGAGTCTTGTAATACAATTTAGCATTGAGTTGTGTAAAATCCATTCTGACACATCAGTCAGGTGTACCGTATAAGATCCATAAATAGTTACTTTAGCATTAATGTCACTCATGGACAAAGATGTTTTAAACATTTCATTGGTTTTGTGTCAATCAAAAGCAATGTATTGAACCCAGTGAACAATGTTTCAGATGTCTTGAAATTGTTAATGTTGTTTAAAATACAGTATTTCGCTTTATATTTGTAAACGTGAAGTAGAGAGATACCTGTTAGAAAAACATGGTACGAAAACACCCCAAACACATTGCGGACGATGGCATGAATAAACTTACTTTATTAGCCGAACAACATTTCAAGACTGAATTCCTTCAAAACAAAAACATACCTGATCCTTTAAAAAATACACAAAACCAGCCGATGGTAGGAAGAGTTTAGACTTAAAGCTATACTAAACATTTCATCAAGATCACCACTTTCATAAACACAATCAAAATGAAATCTTTCTATCCATTTCTAACTTACAAGGATACAAATATTACAGATATGGAGACTTGTTGCAGTGCTTGTGCAGGTGCGGGAGCTATTTGGCCGGAAGAGGTAAACATTGCTGGTACTGTACAAACACCCCCGCACACACAAATAGACAAACACACATGTTTGATTCCAAATGTAAAACGTCCAATCAGCTGTCTAAGTGTCTGAAGCCGCAGTAGACTTGTAGTTACAAAATTCAAATGCACCACTCTTCATGGTAACTTTCAATGATGATACTAGTTAAAAATACATTGTGTAAATACTCTAGGTCCCAAACAAATCACAAGCTCCTACCTTTCAAAAACATGTTTGAATCTAAATAAGTGAAACTCTTTTATGAGAGACTTTGATACATTTCTTCTAAACCTGTTATGTCCATAAAGGTAGGAGCTAGCAGTTGATTTGCAGTGTGTGTGTGCGGGGGCCCTGAGGCACTCCGTCCTCCCTCTACTCGTCATCCTTGTCTTTGGCGCCGTGTTTGAGGATACGGGTGAACTCTGCGTAGTTGAAGTTGCCCTTCTTGTCAATGGGGGCCTCGCGGAACAGCTCGTCCACATCTTCGTCTGTGAAGCGGTCGCCCATGGTGGTCAGCAGCTCCCTCAAATGGTCCTCGTGGATCACACCTTAGACACAGTTAACACCCATCAAGTTCCAAACAGTGACAGTAAAAGTGCCTCGGTGTGTGTTTACAGTATTTTTTGTTTATGCAGACTCACCACATCCCTCCTCATCGAAACAGGCGAAGGCGTTGCGGATGACGTCTTCAGGGTCTGTTCCGTTGAGCCTTTCTCCAAACATGGTGAGGAACATGGTGAAGTTGATGGGCCCCGGTGCTTCGCTCATCATCCCCTCCAGGTATTCATCAGAAGGGTTCTTACCTGAGGAACAAAACACTGTATCATGTATCATGTAATCTTACTTGGACTATTTGGTTAAGAACTAATTGCCTCCACCAAGGAGTTTGTTAAGATGTTTTTGTTAGTATGTCAGGTATAGATACCGATTTGGAACAAGTGTAGCACTGGTCATGGGGAAACCCACTCAGTTTTAGGAGCAGTTCCGAAATCGCAGAGCTGATACACAAATTACTTTTAAATTTGTGTTTACGTTGCAAGATAAGGCATGAGACCTTGCCGGATGTCCGCGTTCCCAGAGTGTTCTTCTAGCAAGAATGCAATCCAGCAGTTCAAATAAAACTTTTATCTGCATATATCTTATTATTTTTTTATTTCATAGTAGGAACGAAAAATTGTCCTTCCTTATATTTCAAAGTAGGAACGAAAAATTGTTGAAGAAGCACAGCCAAAGATGTCCTGAAAAATAACCGTTAATCCTACATTTCCCCTGATGTATATTGCCTCTTTCATTGCTACCCCAAAAAAAGCACCCTCACTCCAATCTTGTAGTAAAGGCTTTCTGTTAATAATCGGTAGAATCCAAGCCCAAACTCATAATGTCATCAGGGTTGCCATAGAAACAAAAAGTGTAGTGAGAGCAGCGTACCCAGAGAGGCCAGCATGTCGTGCAGATCCTCCTTGTCGATGAAACCGTCTCTGTTCTGGTCGATCATGTTGAACGCCTCTTTGAACTCCTGGATCTGAGACTGGTCGAACATGGCGAAGACGTTGGAGGTGGCCCTCTGAGGACGCTTCTTGGTGGTCTTTCCCTTGGCACGTTTGCTCGACATGGTGGCGGCTGGTTCTGGGCCTGCAGCACATTTAAAAGAGGCATGATTCATAGATTAAACGGTGAAAAATGCTCCGCCATCAGGGATAACATAGATTGGATAGATTACTCATTCACACAGCTTGACATGAATACCGATAACAGCATCCAATTGAAAATATGAGTTAAGCCTATTTAGCATATAACAGCGCTGAAAACTGGAACACTGCATTCATATAGCTCTTATATATTTGACTTTGCCACAAGCAGGAGAAGCTATTTCTCTGGCTTTTTCCTCCAGAGAGAGAATCACACTCTTTCTGAATGTCGGGTACAGTGATGGGTGTGAAGCTGACATGTCTCCACAGTGCAGCTCACTTCAGATCCTTCCAGAATTAGACCTGTCACTCACATTTAGGTCTGCAAGGATTTGTCTTGCGTGTGTGTGTGTGGCTCTGTGATTGTGTTATACCCAGTGGGCAGCACCAGACAGATGACACAGAGAGACAGGCTGGACAGGCAGGAAGGAGCAGGTGACTGTGGCTGATTAGTCACTTAAAAGGTATGACATCATGCCCCGAGAGGCGCTGAGGTGAGTACTGTACTAGCTAACAATAAGATAATTTACTCAGGTTAAGCATGGAATTGTACACCCACACCTGACACGCAATGATTTGTTTTCAGTCTTTATTTATTTGCACCTTGAAAACGACATAATTTTCAAGCTTACAGTAATCAAAAGGTATGAACACACACAATTAATTGTATTTCATCTATGATAGTAGAATTCAGTAGCCTATCAAACGCATCTTTAAATCTACTGTGTGTGAGTTATACACTGGAAGGCTATAAAAAGATAAGTATAAATCATATCCAGAAAATCCCTCCAAAAAACCTAGGCTTTTTAAAGATAATACAGATAGAGCTGTTGATCTTCAGAGGGCTCAGGTTATTAAAATATGTTCCGCATCTTGATATTCTTGTCAGGTAGAGTTGAAATTCGTACATTAAAAGATTTTAAATGTGTAATCTATTTTCTTAATTTAAAATATATAGAGATTTTTCAGCCATATCATTCCAAATATAGCACAAACTATTTCTTACAAACAGAAACAAATGCAGTCAAATATAATATGCCTATTCTGGTAACAAATTAAAGCAGATTAAATAAAAAATCCTCATTCATAAAAAAATACAGTTTTATATCCATGTATTTTACATTACAGTTGGTTAAATATCTGTCTCCAAGGACGTCTTCATATTTAAGGGGAGATACATTTAGTGTGTGTGCCGTCTCTGAAATTGCCCTGAGAAAACAAGGGGAAGGTTTGAGCAAGCTGATCTACCCCTGTTGAGTATACAGAATTGTAGTTCTTTGTTGATCTCTACACAAATGAATGCTGCTGTATCACAAGGGCAGAATGATACGCTTTATTGTCAATGCAAATTAAAATATGACCAGCCGATTCTGCCCAGAGTTTGTAATCTTGATCATAAGCACAGTATATCCACAGTGGCATTTATATAAAGTCATCATACAAAATGGATTGTTTTGTCTTCAGCATGAAAAGGTTACAGGAAGGAAATACGTGTATTTAAAACACACACACACACACACACACACACACACACACACACACACACACACACACACACACACACACACACACACACACACACACACACAAACACGAACACGAACACCCACAGACATTTGGGTATCACCAAACAGTCAGGTTGCTCAACGCTGTTAGTGACGACTGAAATGCCAATGGTCAAGAATTTCAAAAACAAACAGTGAGTGCAGTGGAGGTTAAGCTGTCATCAGACATCATCAGATGTGTGTGTCCAAGTGTTTAAGACTGTGTGTATATGAGATCAAAATGGGTCAGCTGCATCCAGAAATTCCTCTGTCTAATGTGCCGTATAGTGATGAGATGGAAGTAAACACACAGGCATATAGTACATTTATACTGCATATACACAAATATATAAAGAGGTCTTACGTGATAATTAACTATAATCTCTCTTTCTGTGGATCCACAGATGACAAAACTCTATCCTGGTAACTTAATTCAAAGGTCCACTGAAACTCTCTGTAACTCTATCCTCCCTTCTGACTCTGACAGTTGAGCCTTGTACCACTGAACTCAGGTAATTTACACATCCAGACTTTTTTTAAAACCCATACAATATCATACACAATATGCAAGCCATTGGTAAAAGCAGATTTCTTTCTTACCTTGGCTTCAGTTAGAAATGTCTGGAAGTCCCTCAAACTCCTTCTGTCTGGGTCCAACACAGCAGTGTGAAGGGAAGCAGGCAGTCCTACTGGAAAGTTTGTTTAAAGAATCAGTCTCCCGGTGGTTCCCTCCCCTTTCTGCCCCGGCCAATGGAGAGGGCGAACTGTCTCATACAAAGACTTCCCAGCCTAGGCCGTTTCTCCATACAAGGCAAAAGAATGCAAAGGCTGCAGCCTGCTACTGCCACAGACGCTGCTCGGGATGTTTGGAAAGAGGCAAAATGACAGGAACTACGATAAGGCTGCCTTATTTAGAGAGAAGGGCCCAAACATTTAGAGGAGGCTCTGTTTGGTGGAGTATGGAAACATGGGGGAAGAGAGTTGTGAGCAGATGCAGAGCAGTTTTGAAAGCCAGTGTTTTGTTGTAAGGCTGTGGCTTTCCTTAAATAGGCAGTTTGGCTGACCCACATGAAGGGAACATCTTAAATTATGTCATGGAGGTAGCATTTGTTTTTGTGGTTGTAAACACGTTGTCTTATCGTGTTCTATAAAAGAAACCTACAGACCTACTTGACACATTTCAGTGTAAAAAAAGATGTTTCTTTTTTAGCCAAATGTTTTTCTGACAAAAATGCTTTTCACTTTTAGTGTAAGTCTGTCAAGATGTTGTCATTGCGCTCAATAAATAAAAAAATGTGAATTGGCAAGAGTGTAAGAAACACCATATTGCGAAATTGTCAGGTAATTATGACATTAAAATAAAAAGTTCTTGCCATTTCGATTGTATGAATTCATGTGATACATCTTCCTCTCCGGTTTTTTGGGCAACACATGATTCCTGTGTGCCTTTTGGGTTGGGTATTTACTTTAATTGCAATTAATATGATTTAGGAACCGCACAGCCATTATGAGTGTATAATTCATCAAATATATATGTTATTTGATACAAACGGCAAACCTTCTGCCCATTAAACAATAACTTTACAGATTTCAATTGAAGAAATGTCTCTATGCTTGTGTCATGCATCTGTTTTTCACTGCATTAAGAAAATACCAGAACTACCACTTAAGCAGCAATATTTATTATTTGGTTAAGATATGCAGCTTACCTTAGCTTTTTTGTTGGTAGAATATTGTTATTTTATTGAGATTGAATTATTGAAAAATAGATGGCATAAATAGAAGTTTCAGGCAAAGAAAGGAGGCTCTGTGAAGGTGCAGTGATGCCCTCTGCTGGGCCACACTTTTCATTTCTGGAATACTACAAAAGAAAATGGGAGGGTTGTGAAATAGTTTGGTCTAGCATGTTATTTTGTGAGAGAGAGAGAGAGAGAAAGAGAGAGAGAGACTTACTTGAAAATTCCTTTCCTAATGGTCATGTATTTAATGTCTTTATACAAACACACATGTTTCTGTAAAGGGAAGTGGGAGGCATCCCAACAACTGAAACAGGCACTTAAAGATGACCAGAGCAAAGTAAAGACAGTAGGGCTCTTCGCAGCATACTTTCCCAAAATTGAAGGGCATCAAAACCACCCAGTTTTGGGACAGGTCAGTGAAATACATTTTTCATAAAAACAATTGTTTTAATAATATTTATTTTAACGGCATTTAAAACTTGGACTTACAGAGTCCACTCAGCCTCGACTTAAACTTTCGTCTGTCCTTTGCCTTCACAAGAGAAAATATTACAAAATATAATCCTTTAGATTTAGATTTAGCATGGCTGCCTCACTGAAGTTTTGATTATTTAATTAGTTAATTTATTTACTGATGTATTAGTTTGATAGGTCTTTGTGTTTTTTTGTTATATTCAAGAAACCTAGACTAACTAAATCCCCAACACCCCTGTCGGCACGGAGGAAACCTATTCCAAGAACAGTGGTAACCACTCAAAGTCCTCAAGAGATAGGAAACGACAGCAGTATGGGACCTTATCGCGGGAAATTACTGAGCACACATACCACCTACACAGGATGAGACGTTCATGTGTGCGCGGTGATATCAAGACTAAAATGTTCTTTTGGAGGACGTAAAGCAACACACCCCACATGACAGTTGTCTTCCTCTCACTTTCACGCCCCCCAAACACAAAAGGCAGGAGAGGACCATAAAACCTCTTAGTACCAGCCATCATAGACACCCTTTTTCAGGCCGGGTGGGTCATAAAGCTGAGGCCATGAGATCCAACTACAGAGTGGACAGCTTGAACAAGATTTTAAAAGCTAAGTCCCCAGAGTCTAATTCGGGAGGAGCAGGCAGGGGTACGAAGAGGAGGGGAGATGCTTTAGGTAAGAAAAAAGTATGTTTACTTTTGCCATCTCCTCTGTGCTATGCAACAGTTGCCTACCTTTATATTCACACAGCACAGGCAATCATCCATTCCAATCCTATGTGACATGCCACAGTTAATTTCACATTAAGTTGTATGTTGTCTCCAATAGAAATTGGTATAAAAGAGAAGACCATTAGTCCTCTCATTGTGCTTATTGCTGTGGATAGGTGTTAACTATTTTTGTTGCATTGTATCATATCACAAGTTGTTTTCATCTAAGGCACCACCGCCAGGTGAATGTCGGAAGCTTGGAGATTAATGGAGCTGTAAACAGGTGGTAAGTAAAACAACTTTTTTTATGCATTGCATGTGATTGATGTAGTTATAAAAAAGTATATCATAAGCTGTCATTACAGTCTAAATATCGAACAGCAAAAGCAGCAAACGGAGAAGAGTCTGAGTAGGAGATGAGGAGAGGATATGGGAGCAAGCAGCAAAAGGAGGAGAGTCTGAGGAGGAGATGAGGAGAGGATATGAGAGCAAACAGCAAAAGGAGGAGAGGATATGAGAGCAAACAGCAAAAGGAGGAGAGTCTGAGGAGAGGAGGAGAGGATATGAGAGCAAACAGCAAAAGGAGGACAGGATATGGGAGCAAACAGCAAAAGGAGGAGAGTCTGAGGAGAGGATATGGGAGCAAACAGCAAAAGGAGGAGAGTCTGAGGAGGAGAGGAGAACAAAGGAAACAGAGAAAGTGGAGTAAAGAGCAGAGTTGAAAGAGAAGTTGGAAGCAGAGCAAACAGTAGCAGGGGAAGTAGAGGAAATGTAAAAGTAACTTTGAAAAGTATCAGCAAGAAGATTAGAGTTGCATAATGTTATTTTGTTTTATTCGTTGCTGTTATATTAATGTTGTATGTTAATGTTTGTATAACAATAGTAGTGATGAGACAAATTGAAGAGGAAAGAATGGTTGCTGGGGACAAGTGGAGATAAAAACCCTAATGGAAAGAAGAAAATAACAACCTTACCCAGGTCTTCATAAAATAGCTTTGTATTCAAATGACATGGGGAAATAATTCAGATTGATCAGAAATAGCTTTATTGGCTAAGTAAGTGTGTACACATACAAGGAGTTTGACTGTTTTTTCTAACTCTCAATGTACTGGCATAGAAATAAACAACAGCTAAAAACAAGGACAACAAAGCCGAATGAAGTAACCATAAACATTGACTACTGTGTACTACTATGTACAGATATTAATATATATACAATTGTATCTATCTATCTATATATCTATCTATACACACACACACACACACACACACACACACACNTATTATTGTTGTATGTTTTTGTTTCTTACATGTTCAATAAACTGACTAAACAAAAAAAAAACTATTGGGAATTCTTTGACGTATTGGCATGCATCACTGTGTCTTCAGGTGGACATTGAGATCAACGGAGAATCAGTTAACCTGCACATGAAGTTGGGCGACAACGGAGAAGCTTTTTTTGTGGAGGAAAATGAAAACGAGGAGGTATGATGACGGACATTCGATGACCATTCCTCAATTCTTTGGCAGCATTGCATCAGTCTGTTATCTTTAACTATTTTTTTTTATCCTCATCAGTCCCAAGTCCCAGCCCATCTGTGCACCTCCCCAATTCCCCTTGAGGACCCTGAGGAGATGGAGGAGACCCCCGAGGGAGCCTCCATCACCGGGTCTGGTGCCCGCAGGAAGAAGCGCCGTCGCAAACGCATCCGGTCTGATACTCACCTGAGAGAAGAGGCCAGCTCCTCATCAGAGGAGAGAGAAAGGGAGAAGGAGTGGGAGAGAGAAAGTGATCCGGCCGGGGGGGAAAGCCCTGCTACAGACGAGCCCCTCACACCATTGCAAATCAGGTCGGTGATTTTTTTTTAAAAGAGGAAAAAGCTTCATCTACAGAATCTCGATACTGCATTACCAATATACTCTTAAAATCTTTTCCGCCCCTTTTTTATTACCAATAATTTTTTCATTTTTGCAAAAACGCCATAGTATTTTAGTATTTTGGTGCCTTAAGTTCTGGAGAACAGCTCCTATAGAAAGCAGCTGATATTTACATACTGTAATGTCAATACGAGCATCCTTTTACAGGGTATCAAGTTGCTCAATGTTGACACCTTCAAAGTTGACACAGTAGTGGAAAAATATCTTCTTTTATGTGTGTGTTATAGTAAGTCAGTATATTACTCGTTGTCTGAGGAGCCAAATGAGGATCTGGGGGCCACGCAGAAAAGAGACACTCATCCACACTCAGATGGAGAGCAGTCACCCTCAGAAAGGTGAGGAAGGTTCATCTTTACAACGCATTCATTCATGTATTTACTTGTTAGCATTGAGCAGCCGCACAGCTGTTGAGTCAGTGTAAGATGACAGAGATAAGGTCATACTGTTTATTCACCTTCAGTAATGGTTTATTTTTCTCTATTTGTCTTTCTCTTTTACAGCAATGTGTTCTACAGCCACTCATCATCTCCTAAGAGCGACTCCGAGCTTTTAGTTAAACCCAAGGAGTCGTCTGAGCTTCAGATGCAGTGGAACTGGGGAGGCTTTCCCATGGTACACACACTCACACACACACACACACACACACACACACACACACACACACACACACACACACACACACACACACACACACACACACACACACACACACACACACACACACACACACACACACACACACACACACAGAGATCTAGATGTCATGCTGTAAATTTGAGATTGTCATGTTGACACACTGTCTCAAATTGCTTTTTTCTGCCCTCCCCCTCACAGCTGTGTCAATCTGAGCGGACACCAGTGGAGTTACAGCACCTCTCCCCTTCTGGCAGTTCTCATTTCCGCACCATTGAAAGACAGGACTCGTTTGACATGAGCTGTGAGCCTGTGATCAGCTGCGGCAGGGTGGACAGTGTCACAGTGGTCCGGCCACAGCCCAGGACTCAACTCCTAGACCTTAGTAACCACACTATGCAGACCCCAGCTTTTTCTTTGGAGAATAACTCTCACATGGCCCATTCCACCCCCAACGACCTCTCTGAATCAGCAAAGACTTATGTGGACTCAGCACAGGCGATCGGGACCACATTAGAGGAAGAGGAGAACACACACTCACCTTCAAGTTTAAATAATCAAACTAATGGCACAGATTCTCCTGCTAGCAAAGAAAGCACCATCAGTGTTGATCACATCAGCACTGATGGTGTGACCAAACCAAACGGCACACAAATACAACTCATTGAAGAGAGCGAGGACTGCACAGTTACATCAACAAGTCCAAGTAGTACAGAGGTATCAAATCCACCACAGCAGGGTGCCTTATCGGAGCAAAGTGAGCAGGGTTCCCCCGGCAGTGCCCCCAACAGCGAGGGGGACAGCGGGATCGACCCCTGCGCTGAGGGGGGGGAGGAGGACGCTGCAGGGGCTGAAGGGCCAGCAGGAGGCTCCCTGACAAACATGACCGAGGGATTAGCCAACCCTTCCGAGGCATCATCCAAAGTGGAGGACAAGAAGAAAGGTGACAGATTGTATTAAACTCTCTTATTTATGTTAATACTTTATGTTATAGGTGTGTCTAACTTCAGACCTTGTGGTAAAACAATTTCCTTTATGTTAGCTCTCCTCATGGATTGATTTGTCATTTTGTTTCAGGTAAACGTAATCACCATCTCGGACCAACAGGTATTTACTTGGATGATCTGACCAAGTTGGAACCCGAGGTGGCTGCACTCTACTTCCCCAAGAGGTAAACACATAAGACTTCTTCACAAATAGTATGATGGTCAAATTAACTAACACCGCATTTTAAGCAATCATTAGTATGGGATCTTTATTTAAATTCATCACAGAAACATCATAGATCTTTTATTATGCAATCAGAAGACATTTATTAAAATGTGCTGATATCAGTAAAAGTTTAAGTGAATGCAGGATTATTTAAGTAGAACAAATAAAACGTTTTTGCTTTTAAAGTATAATAAAAAATCAACAGTGTTCTAGAAAATCAATCCAATATTACAAAGCATAATAACCAATACTGAAGTCTATTCAAATGTTCGTACACCCTTATTCCTTACAGTGTCCATATTGTTTTATTTCTATTGAAACAACTCCAATGAATGTTCTGCGCTGTCTATGAAGTGTTGACAAATTGTCTTCTGTTGTCCCCTGCAGTGAGACAGAGGGGGCGTGTCAGCTCGGGGGGGAGCAGGGCTCCTGCTCGGGGAGCCAGTCTCCTCAGTCGGTGGGCAGCGGGGCCATGGACAGCGGGACAGAGTACCTGTCAGACTCCACCTCCTACAACATGGACGTCAGCATGTCCCTCTGCGGACAGGTTGGAGACACCAGCCAAATCACTAAAGGTGAGTCAGAGTGAAGGATGCTGGTCTTTCTGCAGTCTGTGCTGGGACAGGAAGTCAAATCTGACACATGTCGATTTTTCCTTTAATTCAGAGAAGTTCATGGAGCACATCGTGACCTACCTGGACTTTGCCAACAATCCAGGAATCATTGAGGATCCAAACCTTGTGATCTGCATCAACTCCAAGTAAGATCTGGAGTTAGATGGTTGTTTACTTATACAATCGGCATTATAAATGTATTTGTTACACTTTATGTATTTTTTAGGAGTCCTTTTTAAACATGTCATGTGAATGATTGGTCCACAGCTACTATAACTGGGCCGTTGCTGCTCCGATGGTCTTGTCAATGACAACGTTCCAGAAAAGCCTACCCAAGGTATTTTAGTGTTTCCACACACTAGAGACATTTTTGTTTTTAGTACTCTTTTTATTTTGTAAACATTCAGACATAACATACATACAACTTAAACCTGCATACGTACACAAATGTGTGCAGAATGGCTACTGCACATATAACATACATCTCTCCATGGGTGACCGTAACATCACCTTAATACAATCATGTAGCAAGATATCTATGTATATCTCAGCAAACATACACATTCCTTTTATAAAAGCACAGAGGGAAATGTCACCAGCATAATAAATGATAATCATAATGGCCTGAGGTGTGGCCTCATTACAATGAGAAACATCAAATAGGAGGGAAAGAAATCAATGTATCAAAAACAAAACATTTGAGATATTAATGATGTCAGTAAAACATAATTACAAACCTCATACAAGCTTATAACCAAGTTATTTTGTAATTGATTCCCAAGTTTATAGTCCAGGTCAGATAAGATCATTGTTAGCCGGTGGATGTGACTTTAGGAGGTATATAATCATTGCCTTTTTTGTTTGTGTGATTGCGTGCCTTTGTCATTCAGAGTGCGATAGAGCAGCTGGTGAAGGACAAAATGCCCAAAAAGTCTGGACGCTGGTGGTTCTCCTGGAGGAGGAGACAAATGGACGACAGCCAGGTACATGCTCAACTACTTTCATGCCTTAAAGCATGTAGTTATGATGGTGAGTGATAGTTTGAAAGTGTTACAAAAACGAAATGCTGTGGTCTCCACTACTTAGCTAGAGTTAGTTTTACGTTCTGTCCACGTAGACCCAAGTCATTAAAGGTTTAGTCCAGATGCAATGTGTCTGTTTGTCTAAATTGCTATTGATACTTGACCTTGTTGTTGTTGTTGTTGTTGTTGTTGATAGAATATACCTTATATTTTAATTTCCTTTGTTTTTAGCAAAAGGACTCAAAGGAGGAACAAGAGGAACCACTGGCAACGGTTTCTTCCACAGTAAAGTAAGTCACCTCAACAAGATTTGATCTAACTCATCATGTAGTTCCCCTTTGTGCCACCAGAGTGTATCAAAACTCTGAGATGTTTCTTTATTGTAGGTTTTGTTCAGATAAAATATAATGCGCTGTGATGAGAAAATATAAACATATACAAACCATAAATGTTGATTTGATGTGTGTTGTTTCTCCAGAGGCACACTGGATGACATCGACAGTGACGAGGCGGCGGGCCTCGGCCGAAAGGCCATGCTTCCTGCCGGCCTATCAACAGAAACCTTTAATGCCACTCAGAGTATCACACAGATCTACCGCAAATCACTGCGTCTGACCTCTGAACAGATAGTAAGAGACACAAATTCATACACCCACCTACCCTTTTTGTTTACTTTTACTGCTATCTAATTTATGAATAGGATGAACATTTTGTATACTGTACTCCGATCTCACTCTATCCTCTCTCATCACCAGGAGCACCTCAACCTGCGCGAGGGGGCCAACAAGGTGGTGTTCAGTGTGACCACACAGTACCAAGGCACCTGTCGCTGTGAGGCTGCCATCTACCTGTGGAAGTGGGACGATCGAGTCATCATTTCAGATATAGATGGCACTATCACCAAGTAAAAACAACTGCCTCTCTATACACACTATGCCGTTTAGATGTCTCAATACACACAGAGCAATAATAGTTCCTGCTCATGATGAAAGATGCACACTAGATCGATGTTTGAACATACGTTTATACCAAATGTATTTAAATATAGTAATCTTTACTGATTTCCTCCCGCAGGTCTGATGCTCTGGGTCATATTCTACCTCAGTTTGGAAAGGACTGGACACACAAAGGCATCGCAAAACTCTACCACAAAATACACCAGTATGTGAAATGACTGTTTACTTTTTTCCCATAGAGTAAAAGCGTCATTGTCTTCAACAGGTTTTTCCTTTTAACCAATTTCTATTACTGAACTTTCACACACTGTACTCACTACGACATAACAAGAAGAACAGATGAAATGTGTTCATGCAGATGATTTAATTCTGATGTCATGCTGTTGGCAGCGGAGTGTCTAATCTGCCTTGCCAGATGTTTCCCTGTTTGTTCCTGTTTCACATGGGAACTTAGCCAAGCTGTTAATTGAATTTGTTTTTATTTTATTAAAGGTTCTTATCTTATGTTGCACAATTCACGATATATTACTTATTTCTGAAGAACGTGCTTAATGCTGTAGGTCAACTCATTTACAAGCAGAAGTGGAACATTTCTTATTTTTATGAAACTAAAATGCTAATATGGTCGTTTCTGTTTTTGCAGAAATGGCTATAAGTTCCTGTACTGTTCGGCGCGGGCCATAGGTATGGCTGCCATCACCAAGGACTACCTTCAGTGGGTCAATGACCAAGGCATAGTCCTTCCTCAGGGCCCCGTGCTGTTGGCCCCCAGCAGTCTCTTCTCAGCACTACACAGGTAACAAATACTACTTCACAGTGACCGTCCTACTAATACACTGTACCGTTAAAAACTGATTTGTATAAAAACAGATAAGACAGACTGTATCTGTGAGTTAAGTATCACAGCTCTGCACTGTTTGAGAACAGTGTTTGTTTGAAAACCAATGTACTGCTGTCCTCTAGTGGCCACTCATCTACACCAAACAGAAGCTACTCTGCCCAGTCACTACACTGTATAATATGCATTAACGTATGCTAGGAAACAACACTTGAACAGATGTTCATTTTGACTTTAAACTGTCTGTCTCTTACTTTGCAGAGAGGTTATAGAGAAGAAGCCAGAGGTGTTTAAAATTGCCTGTCTGGGTGACATCAGGGACCTGTTCAACCCCCTGAGGCAGCCCTTCTACGCAGCCTTCGGAAACAGGACGAACGTAAGCAGCGCTGCAGAATGTCTCTTACCAATTTCTGCCCAATAATGAAAGTTTACATTTCCTTTGTTTGTAAGTCATGTTCTGGGCTTGACTTAGCAGAATTCTTCAAATCAGTCGAACTGTTTGGACATTAGAGTATTGTTTTTAAAGAAAAAACAGTACTACAATGTGCCCAAATATTAATTATAGAATGATTTTAAAATGTCTGTATCTCAGAGAAACGACAAAGAGCTAAATCAAGTATGTGGTCTCTATGAACTCATAACAACATGAATATCAAAGCCAAATACTTATAGTATTATTTACAATTTTTCACTGAATTTAATTTAATTTGAACCCAAAATATCAAAGTTAGACTGTCAGATACTATAGACCAGGGGTGTCAAACTCAATTTCATCTCGGGCCCACATAAGCATCATGGTTGCACTCAAAGGGCCAGTTTTATATATAAGACTATATAAAAATAATATATATATATAAAATAATGTATTATATTACATTATTGCCTCTGCATTGGATTACAATCGGATAGGGTAACTTCATAATTAACTACGTCTGAAAGCAGAAGTCTAGCGCAAATAATTGCAATTCTCTTCAGTGAGAATGTCACAAAATGAGTCAAAATCAACAAAAAGAAATGACATTTTGAAAAAAAATTAACATTTTGAAGAAAAAAAGTCAAATTTGAGATGCATTGTGGGACATGTAGTTTATGGGCAACGTGCTTCTGTAAATCGGCATGTAACCGTATAATAAACATATTATATTCTTTGCAAGCTCTTGTGGGGCCACAGAAAATGAAGTCACAGGCCGGATTTGGCCCCCGGGCCTTGAGTTTGACACCCCTGCTATAGACCATCACAACCCATGTGTAGCATTTTTCTCTATCATACTAAATATAATCTTTCAGCATAAATTGGTAACGCCACCACTTTCAGCAACACATCTTTTATCAGTTTGTTCAGGAGCTTAGTTGTCTATTTGAAAGTGTTTTAGAACATGGCACAAAACTGTGTGGACATAAAGAAACCATTCAAGTTAGGTCAAAGGCAAAGAACATACACCCATTAGTTTGAAATGGTTTTATCTTTATCCTGCAATGTACTCCAGCAGGTAGACATGATGTGTGGGTCTGGGGTTTGCTTTTGTAGATATAGTAAACACTGGTTAATGATTTATCAGGGATTAGTGCTAACACAGCCAAACAATATTTTGAGTGCACAGGTATACTTCAAAGTCACACGGAAGTTGATGTGTGTGTAACTGTTCTTTTGCTGCCTCTCTTTTGTCAGGATGCGTTTGCCTATAAGCAGGTGGGGGTGCCTGACACCAGGTTATTCACCGTCAACCCAAAAGGAGAGCTCATCCAGGAGAGGACTAAAGTCAATAAGTCCTCGTAAGTGTGCAACAGAACACAAACATAAACACCCACACAAATACTGATAAGTCACTGAGTGAATGGGCAGAGGAGTCACACGTTATCCTGCACTCATTTCCTTTAGGATTATTTTCCCAGAAAATGAGTCCTGAAACCCAGAAATGAGTATGCGGTTTTTCACTTCAAGTTCCCTTATCTTAAAGTCAATGTATTTAGGTTTTAAAGTGTTTTGGTTAGATGCATGAAATAAGGTCTGTGTTTAACAGCTTAAGACATTTGAACGTTTTGTTAATAAGCACATCTGTAAACTTAGAAATAATGTTTACTCAAGAGACGATAGAGGATTTTGTGTCCATTAAACAAAATCCCATTGGTGGTTACATGAAACCATGCGACAGGGGTCTAGTCTGTTAATTTTGTTTTACTTCTGACAATTGCTTCAAAAATCATAAAAAGTTGTGTAATTTTGTAAAGAGTAAAAAACCTTTTTTCCCAAAGAGCTTATTTTTTAGCAGCGATACAAAATGTCATGAAAAAAACACCATCGTCTTTTAGTCGAGGGAACCAGTGAGTTTTAATTTTGCGGTTAGCCTACAAAATGAAGTCATACTTGCAAAACCTAATTGCATGAACATTATACACATACAGCTCTCTTTATCAGATGCTCGGTCAATGGGGAAGCCACTTATACAACATTTCACTTTAACAGCACATTTTCAAAACGTTTGATCTTAGATGTGCATATGTCTAATTCCTGGAGTTCTGAGTGAGTTGTGTGTTCTTGTGTTTTGCAGGTACAGCCACCTCAGTGAGTTGGTGGAACATTTCTTCCCCATGCTCTCCATCGGGGGCAGCACGTCGTCCGCTTTGGACTGTCCTGAGTACAGCAGTTGCTCCTATTGGAGAGATCCTCTGCCAGAACTGGACTTGGATGCACTACTGTAGACACACACATACGTTTTAAAGCAACCATATTAACTCTATATGTTATCTCCTGTTTCCAGCATGTCTGAATATTGCCTTTGACAGAACTGCCAACTGTAGTGCCTGATTATGAGACAGAATAAACAGAAAGAGCATCTTTATTTCTCAAAGAAGAATTGCTAAATTAAGTTATAATGTCCATGGAGTTAACATTTCTAAGTATCCTAACATAATGCAGTGCTTAATCTCAGTGCTCTATCACTGATGATGGCTGTTGACACACAATTAAGCTATTTTTATGTGAAACTCCTACAGTGAAAACAACTGGACACTTTTCAGTTTTTTGTTATTGTGTATACCAGTATCCTAGTCATTCCAGAATTTAACACTGTTGCACATTTCAGCTCTAAACACTTACTGTAAACACGTTTGTTTTGAAAGTGAGCTGAGTGTTTGGGTGATCCCTAAATATCCTGCACATGCCAAAACTTTTGCCTGTTCTGTTTGGCTTATATGGAGATTTTCCGTTCCTGCTTAAAGCTCAAACATCCCGACACACGGCTACAAAACAAACCTGTTACTCTTCATTCAGTCGAGATAGTGTGTCTGTGTGTTGTTGACATGCAGAATGTCTTTGTATTGAGCATTGTGGGGTGGGTTTGTAATGCTACATGTACCAAGCAACCAAATATGGTATGAGAATGTTTTTAAATTATTTGTATTTTTTTAAGGGTCTTTTGACAATACTCTGTTGTTGTCAAGCACAAGAGTGTTTTCTAAGGAGAGATTTTGATGGGAAATTGGATTTTATTTTCTGTGGTAATTGTGGAATCACAGCCTGCAGGTGAATATGGAAGAGTAGTTTGTGGTGAGGGACGCTAGGATTATATTTTCCTTAATACCGGAGGATTGCAATAACAAGATGATCTGAGCATTGAGCATTGTGAAACTACAACATGAGTTTCTTCTTTTCACGGACTGCACTACCAGTTTTAGAAATGTTTGAACACTACAAGAATGCGAAGGAGGGTCAGACTGAGACTTTTATTCCAGTAAAGTGTAAATGGACCTCGGAGGGGAACAGCGGTGTTTGTAGCCTGGCAAAGTGCCTTATGTTGATGACTGTTATATTTATTCATTCTAAATATATTGTATTGTCAAACTGTGGAGATGCATTGGAGATCAATATTTTAAACCAAATATATATAAATAAAATGTAAATTCAACACTACCTGTTTCTTGGTCATGATTGAAAATTACAGAGTATGATTAATTGTATTCTTTTTTTTTAAAAGGGTCCAAGTACATTTCCAATTGCTATTACTGAATAGCTTTTATTACACTTACTTGCAATAGAAGAAGAAAAAACTAAAATAATTCTGAATTCGGAGGACATGTCACCTAGGGGCCAAGGGTAGGCAAATACAAACTTGCATGAAGTCAGGCTGACTAAATAGCATGGATTACCCCATTGTGTCACAATGTTTCTGAGAGGCGGATTTGACCGCTGATCTGTGCGTCAGTGCGTTTTATGGGTACTTACCTGAACAGGAAGAGTCGATAGAAGACTGCGCTGTGTGAAAAGGTGAGTGTTTGTCTACATTTGTCTTTAATACTGCTTAATTATTTCTTCTTAAATAACGGACAGTCTGTTTTATAAAGAACTGGCTTGTGCTTGAGTTGCTAAAGTTAGTGTAAGGAGGAAGTGAAGGAGTCTAAACTTGCTATATGGCCGCGTGGGGCAATACTGCTCGCTGGAAATCGAAACTTAAGCAACAGATAAACAACTCACGCGCTGCCAAACGACGCACAAACATTTGAGACGTAGCATATTTTAGCCTTTGGCTAATGGACACACTTTCCTGCGACTACGTTAACATTCGTTGAAACTTTGGTCAAGCTTGAGCACAGTTTGGTTTGTAACTAACTTTTAAAAACGTATTTATCTTGCATGCATGGACAGTTTGGTTTCTTGCAGTGCTGTGTCATGATTTGTTGGTTACTTCCCCTGTTTTTCCGGCTACACCTGCAAGAAAGAAACATGACTATGCATTCATTTGGTATTTTCAGTGCATGTTGGGGCAGTGCAGTTGCATGCTGAATTTTCCAGTAAGTTCTCATTTAGTTAAAAATAAATACTTGTAGAACATTTCCACACATGTTGCTGGATAACTCTTAATCCCGTGTTTTTGGAACAGATGTAGTCTTTAGCCATTTAAATATTAATGTTAAGATCTGCTATAAAATATACAATGCAAAAAGTAAAACTGACAATGTGTTTATAATTTTTTTAGTGAGAGGAACTAATGGTATGTATGCCCTGATATTATATGCCTTTGTTCTTACTTTCCCTTTCCCGTCCATGCGATTTACACAGATTTGTTAACTTATAAAACGTTAACAAGCAATGAAGGTTCAATTACATCAAGTTTTTGGTAAAAAACTGTTATTAGGGAGTCTTACCCTGAGTTATCTGTTTTTCCAGGTCCTGCCGTCATGTCTGAGTGAACCTGAAGCAAACTTTCTAAAATGGATCATCCAGAAGCTCTAACTGTGGAGCTCACTTGCCCCATGTGCCTGCAGCTCTTCTCTGATCCAGTTTCTCTTCCCTGTGGTCACATCTACTGCTTTGCCTGCCTTCAGACCATGTGGGAAGGCCTTGACCAACACAGCTGCCCTGAGTGCCAGGCAGACTATCAGGGAACCAAAGCCCTTGTGAAAAGCTTGAAAATGTGCAGCATCATGGAGTCCTACAAAGCCACTGCTGGGAAAGTCAACTCCCCTGCAAATCCTCCTGACGTCGACCATGCTAAAGAAGAATCAAACACAAAAACAACCAAGGAGAGTTCAGGGTCTAAGGGAAATTGTGGCTTTTCTATTGGGTCTGGATCCACAGGCCATAGCAAAGGCAAGATGGAAATGGATGAACCTAAATTCAAAATGGCATCTCAAGTCACAGAGTTGAGCCTCAAGTTGGAGATGGCAGAAACAGTGCTGGGGAAGGAGAAGGAGCGGGAGTTGGAGGTGAGCACTGCTAATGGTCAGCTGAGAGAGAAAACAAGCAGACTTTTAGAGCAGATAACAGATTTATCACAGAGATACAGCGCACAGGTGCGTCAGCTGATAGAAGATGAGCTCGCTCCAGGTGAGTCCAGTGTAGGCAGTCGAGTCAGCCAAGCTTCTGAGATGACAAAGCAGCTGAGGCTAGCGATGCTCAGAGCAGAGTCCCTTCTGACTGAAGATGACGAGGCTGCGTTTAGTGAGGAGCTTCAGACTCTACAACCGCACATTGAGGAGTTATTGGCCAAGCCTGTGGGAGAAGAGGAAGACTACATTGAGTCAAAGGTCAACTCTGCATGTGCCTGTCCCAAGCTTGAAGAGATAAATTCTCAGCTAAGGGAAAGATTTGGAGAGATCCAGCGCTCCATTCGAAACACACTTAACCCCTCAGAGGTGACATTTGACCCAGAAACAGCCCACCCCAACTTTGTCCTCTCAGAGGACTTAAAGACAGTGTCTTATAGTGTTGCCAAACAGCCCTACCCATCCTCTCCTCAGAGGTTCACTAACTTCCTCCAGGTCCTCAGCACCCAGAGCTTCTATGAAGGTGAACACTGCTGGGATGTGGAGCTTGAAGGAGCCCCGTGGATCATCGGCGTGTGCTACAGTGGGAAGCTGGCACGCAGCGGGTTGCCCTCTGCTCTGGAAAGCAGCCGGAGCTCCTGGTGTCTGATGTGGTTCAACAACCTGCTGACAGCCTTCGAGCAGGGCCACAACGTGCCTCTGAAGAAGACCACGGTATCACGTAAGCTAGAGATCAGACTGAGTTTCAAGACCCACAGGCTGAGTTTCTACAACATCAGCCCCTCCAGTGGGAAGACTCATGTGTACACATTCAAGGCTAACCTGACTGAACCGGTGCACATAGCCTACAGGATGATGTCAGGGGAACCCAAAGGCCGTGTCACTATTTATTCATAATCATACATTTATTCTTAGTAAATGTGCTCCATAGAGGGAAGAGGAAGTAAATACATTGTTGCGACTTCATTTGTATGACTAATACATTTAAACTATTAAGTTATGTCTTGAAAGAAAAAAAAGACTCTGATCAGGTATTATTACTTCCTGATCACCTACTTACTTAGGCCTATCACTTTGGATGCTTTGTGTGATAATATATAACTGATTCCCAAGTATACATAGGCATATAAAATACAAATGTGACTGAATAACTCATTGCCTTGTGCCTAAAACATAATGTGCTCAAAATGGTGTGTCAATAAATGTAATTGTCTTGTCATTATTACTCTTTTTTTCCAACCTGTTATTTTTCTACTATTCAAAGTATCTCAATATGCATAATATATTATCGTCATACGCATAATTATTCACGTTTTGTATTAAAAATATTGCAACCTGCCTCAAGGTTTACACAAACAACTCACACGTCACTCTCAAAGACTTCTCGCGAGATTCTCCGGTTGTTTGGAGAATGTCAGCTGACCTCACTGAAAAAAAATTGTTAACGAAACTATCCAGTACAGCCATGTCCCGTATCTGTGATCAATTTATGGATCGATTGCAGTGCGTATGACAGCGTGTAAGGCATACGCTGAAGTCATATTTTGAAAACATTTTTACACCAGTTCTCCTGACGACGAGTCTACTGAATCGGTGAGATGTTGTGTTTTTCTTACCAGTTAAAGCCCTCGTTACATTGGAGCAGCGTCAGTGCACTTGCACTAGTATTACGTTTGTTGTGATGCTAACGTGAGGTTTAAAGCGTTGGTACCTGATATTAAATTGCAAGAGACATTCACCTTTAGCATTGTTATATTTACTGCATTTGTCTCTTAGGTAAGGTCAAACAATAATCTGAATTCATTAACAAAACATCCTCTTCCGAGCGCTGTTAGTATGTAGCACCGTTAGCTAACATGAACATCTTATAACACATACATACTTACAGTACACGTACTGTAAGTGCTTAACGCTCGGTAACTAACCACTTTACGTTTCAATTACAAGAAAGAGCACTGTAGAGTTGAAGCCTTCTCATGCTATGTTGTTGTTGTTATTAAGCTAATGTTGCTGTATCAATTCCAATTCTACAACTATTGCGTATGCTAACTTAATGCCAACATGTTCACACTCGTAGGCTATTATTAACTATTTCACACTTTTAATTTAAAATATATATGCCTGACATATAGCAGCAACTCTTGTTACATAAGGCGTATCGCAAAGTGGACAAAGCTTTTCCTGCTGCTTCAACAAGCAAACAGTTGTACACTTCCTACTAAACCTATGTAACACCAGCTGAAACCTCAGAAATGTTGAATTTCTCAAGTGTATTTTGCTATGCTCATGTACAACTAAGCATATGTTACGTAGTACATAATACATAGTATAAATACTATGGTCTTAAAATACTCCATTACAAGTAAAACATATTGTATGCAAAATGTTAGTATTATTTTTGTACATTGGTGGTGCAGTACTGCATCTTATCATAGAAGGAAATCACATGCTTTTATATGTAAAAAGTTGCTGGTAACTATGAGTGTTTAATACATGTAGTGGTGTAAAAAGTACAATATTTGCATCCAAAATGTAGTGAAATACTCAAGTAAAGTACAATTATGCCAAACTTATACTTAAGTATGGTACTTGAATAAATGTACTTTCCACCTCTGTTAACAAGTTAAGTTTAACACACATTTACTGATCATTTGCCTTAAAAGGATTCAGCAACCTGGATGAAATACCCCTTAACAAATCCCACTGTCCTGAACATGTCTTTTCTTAGAATAAGAGATTTAAAAGGTCTGCTATCAGTCTCAGTACATGTTTAAATTAACAATTTTTTTCCCCCTCAGGGTAAGCCACCATGCTAGCCACAGTGACTGCTGTGGTTAGGTTTGCTCAATACAATGGCAGTATTTCACCTACACCATTGGAAAACACATCTGCATTCCCAACTTGGCAACCTGATTCTGAAGCCAACATCTCCAAGCCTCACACATGTCTACAAATTCTGTATGAGGACGTTGGAGACTCCAGGTATTCAGTAGCACACTTCAGAAGAAATGGTTAAAATCTAACAAAGACTAAGGTTGCGGTCGGATAATCCAAAAATCTGCTCCTAAATTCTAACCTTATCGTCTATTCCTTGACCTCTGAGTGAAACGTCACGGGGTTAAGGGATAGTGGATAGGAGAATTCAAAAGGACTTAGGAGAAGAGACTGTGGTACTTTAGAGAATCCGACTGCACTTTCACTATCTGACGTGTTTATGATGCGCCAGCGGACGTCATAAATGTGCGTCTGCTGCTGTGGGGAAACTATGGAAACTACAGTGTTCTATAGCGGACAATAACATGGATGTTTAATAAGAACCAGGGACTACTGTAAACTCATCTAGAGACCCTGCACCGTGCTCTGATGCTGTTGCTTTATGCTTTATGAACTCGGACAACAGAAACATATTCTTCATGACCAAAGTTGGAATTTGAAATAAAAAAATGAAAGTGAAACTTATGCTCGTCACCCTCTCCCTCTGGTCCACATTAATACAAATGATCCCAATACGTATGATTGTATGAAAATATCTTAAAATCAATACAAATGTATTTATTATAAACGTTAGTCCTTAACATCTATCACTGTGTATATCACCATTCAAACATATTTTAAACCCGCAGTTGAAAGAACCCACCCCACACAACTCAGTAAACACTGTGAAATGTTGACTTTATTTGATAATTTCAGTAAAAACTAACGTTCATATTTCTCTTTTTGATTATAATACTGATGAACGTTCAAAACAAAGCACTTTGGCAAGTTACCACATACGGTTTAAAATGCTTAATAAGCACCGTAACTTTCATGATATCATTTCTCCGTCATAATCGGTTGTTTCCGTGAACTGACTGTTGTGTGACGGCAAATGCTGCGGCTGCAAGGCATTGTGGGGCAGCATTTTCTCTTCTCCTTTCGTCAAGGGAGGTCCAGTGGTTCCTAAGCTAAAGAAGTTTGAAACCTCCTTTCCTATCATCTAGACTAGAGAATTCGAACAGCACTTATGCCACTGAGGGACTTCCGGGTCATTTCACTCCGTTAGGAAGGTTCCTAAGCTAAATGGACTATTCAACTTCACCCCAAGTAAAACATACCTTGCGTCTGAACGTATCTGTGACTCAATTACTTAACTTTGAGATACATATCTGACTGACAACTCATGATATCTACTACAGATGAAATATATTTTCAGAAGTTATGTGTCATCCCCTCACATGTGTCTCTTCCTCACAGGGTGCGGTTCTGGGACATCTTACTGCTGGTGCCTAATGTGGCCTTCTTTGTGTTCCTGATGTGGAAGCTGCCCTCAGCCAGGGCAAAAATTCGACTCACCTCCAGCCCTATCTTCGTCACCTTTTACTTGCTGGTAGGACATTAACTACAGATACACCAATATATACAGTACTCAAAGTAATAGTTTTGAAGCAGTCATCTTTAGGAATAAAAGCATTTCTACACATCATTTACAACGACTGCAGTGTTCATCTCCTTAAGTCTGTAGGGACACTGCTCCTGATAATAACTTTGACTTTAATCTGTCAACAAGGGAAAACAACCTTGTCCAAAGACCTGCTGATGAGTTCATTTAGTTAATGTTTGCACTAATCTGTTCCTCCTCTGTGGAAAGTGCTTACTCTCATGTTTCCAAACTCTACTCCAAATGTTAATTGAAGTTAGCCTTCTTGTGAAATCACAACTGTTTGTTACTAGTGTTACCAGTGGATTGTTCATTTCAGATATACTTTCCCCAAATTTCTACTCAAGGATATTTTTCTATTTATTGTGATATACGATTTAACGTGTTTGTTTTTAACTGTAATCCTTAGGTGTTTGTTGTAGCAGCGGTTGGAATCACCCGTGCCGTAGTGTCCATGACTGTCAGTGCATCCAGTGCTGCCACCATCATAGACAAAGTAAGGAGGCTTGCGAAGCATAAATAATATTTTTGAAACCATGTGGGTGTTAGGTTGTAGATCCCCAAAATCAAAGGCTCAAATTCAAAGAACAATATGTAATAGTATAATACAGTATAAGCCAACAAATTGAAATGGGTCTGTGTTGTTTTCTGAAATATACTGTATTTATTAACGGTAATAGCAAATGGCAGATTTCCATTTGACTACTTGGCCTAAACTGAAGTATCACTGATCATATCCTCTTTATAGAATACCCAGAGCAGCTGATAGGAGCTTCAGTTTGACTTTCTTTGGCTTATTATTTCTAAAAGGAGAGGCATGGCTGACATTCCTCACAGACCAGACAGATCCCTATGAGAGTTCAGAGGGATGAACCTGCTGCTCCCATGGCACACTGTCATGGCTGCACTGTTGATAAAATATCCACATGATTAATGATGCATGACATTTTAAAGGTCCCATGTCATGGCCATTTCCACTGATCATAATTCCATTGTTGAGGTCTACTAGAATAGATTTATATTGTGCAATTTTCCAAACTCACATTGGTTTCTCATACAGCATCTCTGTAAACTACGTGTATTCACCGAATTTCACTCTCTGCCTTTAACGGCTCGTTGTAGCTCCAGTAGCTCCAGTAGCTCCAGCCCCCACCCTCCCTGTGAGCACAGTGTGCTCTGATTGGTCGGGACGTTGTGAATCGCGCTGAGCTCCGTTCAGGTGTTGTTTTCCTTGTTCAGCGAAACTCACCCTGAGCACACACAAAGTCACAGCCGAAGTAAAAACAATAAGTGTGGCTTGATATTGAGTAAGAAAAAGGTTGATAAACGCTGTGAGAATGGGTCTGCAGAGAGAATTACGCCGCGATCCCAACTGTCTGTTATCAGCCTGCAGCCAGGGAGGAAAGATCAGCAGAGCTGCCTGCACTGAGTGTGTGTGTGTGAGGAAGTCCGTGGATTGGTCAATTTGGACCAATCAGCGGGGGCTTAACGTAACGGCTCCGCGGACGTAACGTAACGGCTCCACGGATTGGTCCATTTGGTCATCAATCAATGGACAGTGACGTATCTCCAAGACTCATCTGCAGACCGTTTACATCCATAAAAACCTTCATAAGACACAAGGGGACGGGTAATAACCGGAAAAGCATGACATGGGACCTTTAAGGTTCAAAATGTGTTACATGCTGACACTTGTCATGATGCATAACTACAATGCTTGCTGTCTCCTCAGGTGCTGTGGGAAATCACACGTTTCTTCCTGCTGGCTATTGAGCTCAGTGTTGTCATCTTGGGACTTGCTTTTGGTTCGTTACTTGTTTCAGTTCTCATTGTGGTTTATGGCAACCTCTGTCCTATTCACATGACACACCCTTTTTTGTTTATTAAGTATTATGTAATGATCCCTTTCAGCCTTGAATCTAAGTTTTGAATGTAGCTGAATGACTACAGTTTTTTTTTCATTCTGTTAAGCCTTTCTCTATCCATTCATCAGGTCACCTGGAGAGCAAGTCTAGTATAAAGCGAGTGCTGGCGATAACGGCTGTGCTTGCTTTAGGCTACTCCATCACACAGGTAATCTATCATTGTAAGAGGCAGCGGGAACTCTTTTTGGTAACCTCTCGATTGTGAATTCAATTAAATGAATGACATGTTTTTCCAGGGCACACTTGAGATCCTGTATCCAGACAGTCACCTCTCTGCTGAGGACTTCAACATCTACGGTCACGGAGGACGCCACTTCTGGTTGGTCAGCTCCTGCTTCTTCTTCCTGGTGAGTAACCTGTTACCATGAAGGAGAAGCAGCATGAAGAGTGAAATTAAAACCTAATAACTGATGTCTAATAATTCTCTCTTTTTTTTATATAGGTGTACTCTTTGATTGTGATCTTGCCTAAAACTCCAGTGAGGGATAGGATATCTCTTCCATGTAAGTGAAAGATTTAATTGCAGAAAAGAATAAAACGACATTGAAGAGGTTGAAAAATAAGCATTATATATATATCGATTTTTTTTTTTGTCAATGTATTGAACATTTCAGAAACAAAACGTACAACAATAATAATAATTTAAAAAAAATCTTGTAATAATAATTATACAAAGAGAAAAAAACAAAAAACTTCTAGTTTCTGTCATGTTTAACAGGGGCAAGAAAAAGCTTCTTTTTTTTTTAAATAAATGTTTCGTGAAAATAAAAGATTACGATTTTTCTTTTTTTTACAAAACAATCAAAAAGAAATAACTTTTACGATTACAAGAATTAACAAGTATGAGTACAGGTCCTGCTCATAACCATTCATGATTTGGCTTCTAAATAATAGTTTTAGTTTAGGTAAACTTATACAATATTTATTTTAGTTTAGGTAAACTTGTACAATATATATCATGTCATTCATATAAACCCACAAAGATGTGCTCCACTCTTAGTAATTGTTCTGTGTGATGCAATATAATAAAAAACATTTAAACCATTGTTGCCTAATAACATTTGTTTTGCTTCCTTTGTCCAGCTAAGAGAAGCTTCTATGTGTACGCTGCCATCCTTTCTCTATTGAACCTCGTCCAGGGCCTGGGCAGTGCTCTGCTGTGTGCTGGAATCATAGAGGGACTCTGGTCAGTGTCATCATTTTGAGTTTATACTGAATTAATTGACCTGTGGGAATGTTTAGGAAATAAAAATAAAATGTTGGAAGAGGTTCTGGCTCCAGAGTTGCTATGGAGCTTTGTATTTATGTGCTGGGTGGCTGTTTGTGTTTGGCTGAGTTGCATACTAGATGGACGACTCACTGTTGTTGGTGGGTCCAATGAGCATCAGTGGAGCTGGGGCGATTAAATGAGAACATAACAGATGTTTCTCTTTTGGATTGAAGAGTCCTTTTGGCAAAAAAAAACATTGGTTGAGTTTTCTGTGTATGAATCTTATAACAATGCTGCTACTTTCGATATGATTCTTCGCAAAGTATCAAACTTATTTTGTTTTTGTTTTCTCATCCAGCTGTGTGGATGTCACCACCTTCCTGTACTTCTCCGCCTTTGCGCCGCTCATTTATGTCACATTCCTCAAAGGCTTCTTCGGGTTAGTACAAATAATAATACACAATACACAGAACACTTAAGAGTTGCATTCCTCGCTTCGACCTGTTTTCTTTCTTTACTTGAACTACTTTCTTCCTTTTACATAGGTCAGAGCCAAAGATCCTGTTCTCCTACAAGTCACAGATGGATGAGCCAGATGAGAGTGACGTCCACCTTCCTCCCACCGTCGCTACCACTGGGCGAAAGGAGATGACTGACCAGGGCCTGTTCTACTCCTCCACCCAAATCGATGGCTCCGGTCCCGGCAGCTCTCGTATGGTTGGAGCGTACCTGGATGATGTCGCCTCCGGGCCTTATGGGTCCAGCAGCATTAACAGCATTGAAGCTGACCGCTGGAGACCTATCAACGTGTGAATAAACGAAGGGGAGTGTTGTGGTTTAAACAGCTGGACCTTAATATTGTGTATGTAGTGTGTAATGCAACATGGCCAAAAAAAAAGCTGAACAAAGAAGTTGGATCACAAGAACAAGTTATCTTGGCCTTGCTTTGACGCCAGCTAAGTTAACAAGTGGACACTTAAGGAGAAACCTTTGCTAGCCAATTATCTGGAAGACTGTGAATTAAGCAACTGCTTTTGTAACATTGTTGCCAGAGTGCACTACTGCTGTAGCTCCACACTAGGAGCACTTTCCCTGATTGTGTCCCGGACAGACTCTGTTTTGATTCTGCTTGATGTGCTTTTAAATGTGGTAGGTTATTGACTCGAATCAGCGCATTTACTGTCATTCCTGCATCCTGCAACAACAGCTAAAGGCTTAATAATTAACTCATTGTAAATTCCTTCCCTTAAAATCTAAGAGTATCTCTTCGTTATTGGCTGCCATGTATTAGATTTGTGACCCGATTTGGATAATGATGTTTTTACTGAATCACTCTGCCTCTCCACACAGGTAAAAATAACTTGTGGTACTTCATTTAGTTAAGTGTACTTTGTCTTCTGAGATAGGCGCTGTCCCTTCTGTGAACAAGTGAAATGTGTTAATGGATGTGTGTCTCTGCAATATGATAAGAAAACCAGTCGCTCCTAAATACAGGATATTCATTTACACTAAAGACCACAGATCGCCTGTAACTCTGCCAGGATTGGCTCTGACACAAGAGCAAATTGTCTTAGCTATAAACTCTCTAGCTGTCATTTCATTCCACTTTTATTTATGTTGGGGTTTTAATTTCTTACAACAAATGTTTCATTCCTGCTACTGGTACATGTTTGAGCATCATAGTCATTAAGAGTGTGTTATTAGGTGTGTGATTCAAACAACAAATGTGCAGAAATCGTCTTTGAGTATTCCTAATTAGACATGCCCTCATTCCATATCAGCATGTCTATTTCCACTCTGCTTGTTGCAAAGGGTCACTGTGTACTAATGTTTATTTTTCTGCCAATATCTTTTTTTTCTGTCACCGGAATTCTCACAAATGTTATAACAAATGTTCAAATTAGACCAAAAAATTATACGTGGTTGTCTATGCAGTGTATTTAAAAAAATATATATTAACCCTTATGTCCCCCTGAACAAGAGAGACTCAGGTGATGGGTAAAATCACATTTCCTTATTCCTATCATGGAAATAAAAAATTATGATGTATGTGAGTTTCACTCTGAAAATGCTATTTGTTTGGTATACATTGATTACTGTATTAAGCTAGCAGTATTCATATAGTGGTTAAGTGTATGCAGAAAATATGCATTTATTTTTTCAGCATTTTAAAGCAACAACACAAAGAAGTTGTTTATTTCAACAAATTAAATTATATGCCTGACTCTGGAAATAGTATATATTCAAATTTAGGGGCCGGTGAAACATTCTGTATAGCTTGGAGTTAGGAAATGGGAAATTAGATGTATTAATCATGACATGAGTTCACAATTCTTAAGAAAGTCCTCTCTCCTGATAGAAAATGTTTTGGAATTTGAAATAATTTTGCAAATGATCTGTAAATTGCCTTTTTATTTAAGGGCATTGATTGTATGATATTTAGCCCATATTATTGCAATGTATTGAGCATTCCGTGACCAACAAAATAAACCGTGGACTCTTTGATTTCTTTGTTTTTTGGGCAGACTCCACTCTGTGGTTTCTTGTAGTAACTACACTGGAACATATGTTTATCCTTTTTCTTCATATTCCTTCCTGTGATGATTTCCGATGTTTCCTTATCTTGCGTTTGTCTATAAATCGTCACATTAGTCCGACTACAATTAAACTACATTTCCCATCTATCCTTTACTCCAGATACGCAACCACAAGGAGTCTGAATTATTTTATCCAACCAATGAGCTGAGAGGATACTGTAGCGCCAGTTTGACCTTTATTGGAGTTTTTAAACCACTGCTCGCTGTGGTGGCGATTCCTCTCCTTTATGTCTATCTGTCCTAACTACAGTTAAGGTTTTTATTTATTTTGTATATTCAAGTGGGCACAGACAGCTGGTGGAAATGGGAGGTAGCACGTCCAAGAAAGTGTCATTCGGGCTGGACGAAAACGAGAAGGTCACAGTTATTGAAGGAGTGAAGGTAGATATAACTTCATGTTTCGACTCATTTGTTTGCAATTCAGAGACAAAGTCTAAATTATGCTTTGAGGCATGACGACTGAAGCTAATACGGTTAGCTAGTGGCAGTGTTCGTACAAGGTGCACTGAAAGGCTGACAGCTCCCATGTCCTTAAATGAGCTGGGTCATTCTCTCTCTACGTTATGTCCAGTAGCTGTTCCTCGCTGTCTAAAAGTTATTACGCTTAATATTACCCTTGCAACAGTTTGAGGAATTACCACGTATATCATTGAATACCATTGAAGCGGACGCAACGAACGCAGTGCAATTTTACCACTCTGGCTAAATGTGCAAAACGCAACGCTACCTTAATTTGGGTTAAAGCTATCTTTGCTATGTCAGTACCACACTGCGGTCAAGCCAGCCGTCTTTCACTTTTGCGTAGTCAAACCAGCCGCACCTGTATTTTGAGTGCGCGATTAGTTACAGGTTTACGGTAATGCAATAAAACAACCCTGGGAAGCTGGATTTCAAAGTAAAGGATGGCATGTGGTTCATTTCTATAATTTGCGATTGAGGAACAGGGTAATTTATGAGAATAATTGTAGGATTTATTGCTTCATAAACTTGTTGCACAAATAATATGAACTACTTTTACTGTGTACGTTTTCAGTAATTTGAGTTTCAAAGTCCCCTCCAGAGAAAAAAGATTGAGCATTTTCATCTAACTTTGATGTGGTCTAAAAATCATTTCTTCCATAAGTAGTTTATGAAACTGCCATGTTTGTACTTAGTACTTCTTAGACTACTTGCAAACATAATATGAACTACTTTTACTGTGTACTTTTTGAGTAATTTGAGTTTCAAAGTCCTCTCCAGGGAACAAGAATGAGCATTTTTGTCAACTTTAATGTGGTCTAAAAAACATTTCTTCCATAAGTAGTTTATGAAACTGCCATTTTGTACTTAGTACTTCTTAGACTACTTGCAAACATAATATGAACTACTTTTACTGTGTGCTTTTTCAGTAATTTGAGTTTCAAAGTCCTCTCCAGAGAACAAGAATGAGCATTTTTGTCAACTTTAATGTGGTCTAAAAAACATTTCATCCATAAGTAGTTTATGAAACTGCCATGTTTGTACTTAGTACTTCTTAGACTACTTGCAAACATAATATGAACTACTTTTACTGTGTACTTTTTGAGTAATTTGAGTTTCAAAGTCCCCTCCAGACAACAAGAAGAAGCATTTTCGTCTAACTTTGATGTGGTCTAAAAAACATTTCTTCCATAAGTAGTTTATGAAACTGCCATGTTTGTACTTAGTACTTCTTAGACTACTTGCAAACATAATATGAACTACTTTTACTGTGTAATTTTTCAGTAATTTGAGTTTCAAAGTCCTCTCCAGAGAACAAGAATGAGCATTTTTGTCAACTTTAATGTGGTCTAAAAAACATTTCTTCCATAAGTAGTTTATGAAACTGCCATGTTTGTACTTAGTACTTCTTAGACTACTTGCAAACATAATATGAACTACTTTTACTGTGTACTTTTTCAGTAATTTGAGTTTCAAAGTCCCATCCAGACAACAAGAAGAAGCATTTTTGTCTAACTTTGATGTGGTCTAAAAAACATTTCTTCCATATGTAGTTTATGAAACTGCCATGTTTGTACTTAGTACTTCTTAGACTACTTGCACAAATAATATGAACTACTTTTACTGTGTACCTTTTGAGTAATTTGAGTTTCAAAGTTCCCTCCAGAGAACAAGAATGAGCATTTTTGTCAACTTTAATGTGGAATAAAAAACATTTCTTCCATGAGTAGTTTATGAGTCTGCCATGTTTGTACTTAGTACTTCTTAGACTACTTGCANTAGCTATACAAAAACTCTGTCTGTCCGCCCTATGTTGTATATAAGCTTTGCTATTCTGTGACTATTGCGCACACTCCTGCAGACTATCCTGTACTCTGTGAGACCTGTGCCTTCGAGGCGCCTCGAATAAAGATCCAGAAAGACAACTCTGTTTGTTTCACCAGTTTATTGATTGATCATTCTAATTGTATATCTCCACAGTATTGACTAGGTCTAAGATTTCCATAACAGTACACAGTAAAAGTAGTTCATATTATGTGTGCAAGTAGTCTAAGAAGTACTAAGTACAAACATGGCAGTTTCATAAACTACTTATGGAAGAAATGTTTTTTAGACCACATTAAAGTTGACAAAAATGCTCATTCTTGTTCTCTGGAGAGGACTTTGAAACTCAAATTACTGAAAAAGTACACAGTAAAAGTAGTTCATATTATGTTTGCAAGTAGTCTAAGAAGTACTAAGTACAAATATGGCAGACTCATAAACTACTTATGGAAGAAATGTTTTTTAGACCACATTAAAGTTGACAAAAATGCTCATTCTTGTTCTCTGGAGAGGACTTTGAAACTCAAATTACTGAAAAAGTACACAGTAAAAGTAGTTCATATTATGTTTGCAAGTAGTCCTAGAAGTATTAAGTACAAACATGGCAGTTTCATAAACTACTTATGGAAGAAATGTTTTTTATCCCCCGTCAAAGTTAGACAAAAATGCTCCTTCTTGTTCTCTGGAGGGAATTTTGCCATTCTCAAAAAGTACACAGTAAAAGTAGTTCATAGTATTTGTGCAACAAGTTTATGAAGCAATAAGTCCTACAATTATTCTCATAAATTACCCTGTTCCTCAATCGCAAATAATAGAAATGAACCACATGACATCCTTTACTTTGAAATCCAGCTTCCCGGGGTTGTTTTATTGCATTACCGTAAACCTGTAACTAATCGCGCACTCGAAATACAGGGGCGGCTGGTTTGACCACGCAAAAGTGAAAGACGGCTGGCTTGACCGCAGTAACACCACTCGGGAGGTTAAGCTAAGGGGCACCAACTCAAGTATCAACTACGTTACTGTAACGACATCAGCAGTAACCTTTAGTAAACGTTTCAAAACATGGACAGTTTCAGTTTCATAAAGACATAATCTGCAACATGTGAACTGTTACACGATTCAGAAAGAGAATACATTACTATTGTCTGGATTCATGTAGGCAGATAGCTTCTCATTCTCTTACTATTCAGGAGGGACATCATAGCTCTAAGAAGTACCCAGATATTTTACTTAGTAAAAAAGTAGCAATACTACATTGTGAAAACATACTCTATTACAAGTAAAACTCCTGCATTCAAAGTTGTCCTCAAGTAAAAGTACAATAGCATTGGCATCAAAATATACTTTAAGTACAAATGTTCTAGTATGGCTCATATCTGATTTAAGAATATACTTTTTTTGTATTATAATTATTATAAATGCATTACTATCAATGTTTACTCGGTAAAGGTGGGGAATATTTAAATGACTTGCTATACTGCTGGGTAGCTTAACCTATAATAATACATAGTGATTTATTAGTTGATTTAAAATCTGTATGCGATGTGTTTGATATACATTGATTCCTGTTTAAGCTAGCAGTATTCATATGGTGGTTAACTATGCAGAACATATAAATAGATTTTTGTCATCATTTTAATGCAACAACACAGTAAATGACTTCTTTATATCATTTGCCTTGAGTGCCGGTGATAACTGCTGTATAAATGCAGTAAAAATTGTGTTTGGGAAATTATGAAGTAAAGTAAAAGTAGGATAATGAGGAAATATTTAAGTCCAGTACAAGTACCTACATTTTTTTAATTTAAGTACAGCACTTGCAAATATACTACATTCCACCACTGAGGGTCATAGGAGGTAAGGAACAGCTGTACAACAACTCGTGACTTTCTTATGGACTTTTCAGAAAGCCATGCTTAATGATGGACTTTTTAACCTTTGAGACTTTAATCTGCTGCTTTCAAGATAAACAACTGTGCTGTATGAACACCAAGGGGCTGGTTAATGTTTTTTTATATTCAGATTTCCTAATTCTTACATTCCTATCCAGCTTTCAGACGATGTGCTCCAGCGGATGAGGGACGCTGAGGGGTCTGAAGGCACCAAGCCACCCCCCTCTCCACCAGAACCCGGTCAGAAACAACCACCAAGTGAGTCCGGGTCAAAGACCTTGGCTTTCTTTCACAGAGCTCCCATTGGGAGGCCCACTGTGTCGACATGTTCTCATGCAGTGCATGGTGAGAAAAGCATTATAGACCTTAACCCTTTGTATTGATATTCATCCCATTTGATTTTCAGGTCCAAAACCAACAGGAACCTCCCATACAGAAATACATGAAGAAATACGCAAAAAGTAGGTGCTCATAATGTCAAGATCACTGTTTGTTTTTGATTTGATCCTGCCATATTTGTTGAACGACCTCCTCTAACTCTGAATATCACTTATTATGGCATTAGTTTTGTCTTACTAGGAATTTGACGCCTCTTGAAGTATTGAAACCTGTGTAGCTTATCAGATCCTATCATTTAGATGTCAGGCCCTCTGTGTTGGCACATGCTACACATAGCCAGTGGAGGTGACCGATTTATAAAATAAAAGACACTTGAAGCTAATGGGCGATGCTTATGGAAAACATACACACCGCGAGTGACCTGTCAACACTGCTCGTACTGATTTACTGATGTGTGTGTGTGTGTGTGTGTGTGTGTGTGTGTGTGTGTGTGTGTGTGTGTGTGTGTGTGTGTGTGTGTGTGTGTGTGTGTGTGTGTGTGTGTGTGTGTGTGTGTGTGTGGCATGCGTGGTGCTGAAATGCTTGTACACTATCTTGAGTCTCTATAGATTTACATGTTATCAAGCCCAACAATTCTCACCCACTCACTGTAAAAATTGTTGGACGTATATTAATATACATTACATTATCAAACCTTTGTCCATATTTGTGTGCTAAGTACTGTAATGTAATCATCCTATTGATGTAGGTTCATGTAGTCAACAGAACATTAGAAAGTTACAGAAATCGGCTTTTGAACAAAATACCACTGTAAACTTTGGTTATGTCATGATGTTACTGGATTGGATTGCAATATATGGAAGGTTGTAATTCAATCTAAAGCTTGTTCTCCTCATGAATTTGTATGTTCTTTTCACGATGACCTAAATGATATGTATATAAACTCACAGAACAACTGCTTTTTACTATGCATAGTCAGTCAAGAGGTTTTTGTTTCTCAGTTTTAGTATTGTTTTATAAACTAACAAAAGCAATATCTGACCTTGCTGGGTAGCTGGTGTGTGAACAATAACTTAAATGTTTAGCAGACTTTTACTGGATAGATAAAGGTTAAGGCTTAATACAGCTCTTATTTTCCCCTACTTCAGCTTTGAGCGTCAGCAGGCCCAGGTGCAGGAGCAGCTGGCCTCCCTCGCCCAGAGGGAGAGAGAGAGAGAAGCAGCAGCCCCCACAGAGCTGGACCACCTGACCCCCGCCCTCCTCATCGAGAAAGGAAAGACCCATGAAGAGCAAGGAAAGGCCAAGACACTGGTGAGTGAGGCTTTCTGGGTCTATGCCAGGTTTCTTAGTTGGGCTTTAATTTAGTGGACCTGACATGTTTACTCTGATCAATAACTAATCATTAGTTTACACTTCACATCAGATCATCTTCGATACAGTACCCTGTGACCGTGTAACTATGTACTTCAAACAAACGTTCCTTACGCATTTATTCAATCAAATGAATCGAGACAACTATTTCATTTACTTTCATAATCTTTGTCATTGTATACGTGTCTGATCTTAAGCTGAAGAAGACAAAGGCAACCACAAACTGCATATTTGACTATTGTTAACAAAGAATTGCACACATAGCCAATATACTTTTAGCCTAAAAACTGCCAGCAATACATATTTAAAAACCTTTCCGGTTGGGAAACCCTGGTTCATTCGTTTGAACATTAAACGCTTCACCTGAAAAGTGAAAACATTTGTGTTATAATGCGCAATTTAGAAACTGAAGAAACATACTACTTACATTTTAAAATAACTTCTGATTTACAATGTATTTGTTATATAGGTCAGCAGCACCCTCTACTGTTCAGTCTATGAACAGCACCTTTTGACTGAGGCACTAGTCGTGACTCGTTGAATTATTAGATTGCACATGTTGATAGTTCCTCGCCGGTTAGACTTTTCACACGGTATATTCATCCGTTCCAGGTTTTGTAAAATATCCAAACATTCATTTACGGTGCATCGCATTTTTTCAACTTTATATTCAGCATCACATTTTAATCCATTGATTGTGAGATGGAGTTGTTGCGTCTTTTCATATAACTGTGCGTCTAGCTGATGAAAAGATAATGACATACTGTAAATGTGCAGGGAGATGGAGCTATCCTGAAATTACATTATACCAGAAAATGATTTAAAGAAGAGAGCTTGATATTATTAGTCATAAGTGTTGACCAGACCACGCTCAGGTTTGGAAATATTCTACGTTTTGTTTTAGAGAAAGTTAGCTGATTCGGGTTCTCTAAATAGGATTCTCTTCTCGCTGTTCTACTGTTAGTAACACTGTCGTGGCTTCCTTCCTTGTATTTCCATCAAGCCACTAGACGCCTTAAACAGACAGTTCTAACTTGTTTCTTTCCTTAAATTACTCACAGTTTGAAGTGCTGCTTGGCCTCCGATGGTTTAGAAGATGTTGCGATGTGTTTGCTCAAAATAAAATAACAAACTTTTGCACATGCAACATGCAACAAAGAATATAGGCCTTTACAATATTCAAAAGAAATAGGCAAAACTCAAAGTAAAATAACAAAACAACTTAGGTATTCTTTCCGTCTTGATAATGCTTATAACTTAAAGTGTACTTGTACGGTAAGAGTACGGTACGTTACGGTAAGATAAGATAAGTACGTTAAGGTAAGATAAGATAAGTACGTTACGGTAAGATAAGATAAGTACGGTTAAAAACTGTTCCTCGACGGCGTCTCTCAACAGATTGCCCATCACTGTGGCTTTAGCACAGGCACCTTGGGAATTGTAGTCCTTTTATAGTGCGTTGACTACAGACGTCACAATTAGGTGGCCTTTCTTATCAAATCAAAATACCGGCTCTAACATACCGGCCCCTATTGTTATGGGCATCTTTAATAACAATAAACAAAAATTCAAAAAGAGCCAGACAAAGTCATTCTTCATATTCTATTTGAGATAGACAGGGTGTCTTAATTGTCCATCTTCAGTTATTGCCTTATTCTAAGGCAGGCACCAGTAGGCATATTTTGCTTATTGGTTTTCCAGCGTGTTGGTTTTTGTCTTAAGAAGAACACTCCGAATCAGTCCTCCAGATCCAGATCTCCATAACTCTTGCCATTAACCAGGATCCACGAGGTGCATTTGAATCCATGATTATTACGATGTCTCCAGGTATGAAGTTCCTTTTAATGCGATTCCATTGCTGTCTTTCTTGCAAAAGTGGTAGATATTCTTTGATCCATCTGGTCCAAAACAAATTTGCTATGTACTGCACTTGTCGCCAGCGGCATCTTGAGTATGTATCTTGCTGATGGAATAAGCCTGGGGTTCAACGAAGGTTTGACCTTGAGCTGCAGCAAATGGTTGGGTGTGAGAGGTTCCAAGTCATTTCGATCATTTTACACTGTAGTTATTGGTCGGCTGTTGAGAATTCCTTCAACTTCACACAGAACTGTTGAAAGGCTTTCGTCATCAAGTGTTTGTTGTTTTGTGATGGAGAGCAGAATTTTCTTTACAAGCTGGATTAGTCTTTCCCATACTCCGCCATGATGTGCTCCGTAAGGAGGATTGAAGGTCCATTTCACATCCTTTTGCTGGAGGGCTTGTTCTATTTTGCTCAGATTCCACTCTTTTATAGATTCCTTCAGCTCTCTTTCCACGTAGAACCTTCATCGAGTAAGCGATCTTATGTCTTAAGTACGTAATTCACGGACGTCTGCAAAGTAGTCGTCTGTCTCCTGTTCATAACTCTCTCCCGAGTCTGTTACCCTGGATTAAG